TTCATTCATTTATTCATAAGGTATCATTGATATACACTCTTATGAAGGTTTCACATGAAAAACATTGTGGTTACTACATTCACCCATATTATCAAGTGCCCCCCATGCACCATTGAAGTCACTGTCCATCAGTGTAAGATGCCACAGAGTCAGGACCCCCTTCTTGACTGTGGTCCTGTTGAACTTCCATGCTTAGATTGTTTCTACTCTTTTAGGATTTTCTTTTGATTTGTCACTGCTCACAAAGAAGAATGGTAGCTACAAAATTGAGACCAAGAAGTATGACTTTTATATAAACGTCTGTGGTCCGGTGTCTGGAAGCCCCTGCCAGCAGGACTCAGGGGCCTGCCAGGTGGCAAAAAGGCAAGTGACTCTTCTCAGCCGGAGTTCTGTGCTTAGGCACCTGTGCTGACAAATGCCTCGTTCAGGAGCAGGTGTGCCCCCTACCACCATCATTGCCTTAGGACAGGCAATTAAACACTGAGAAGACCTGGCCTAAAAACGGAATGCTTGGAGTTTAATTTCCCAGAGAGGGAGCAGGCCGCCCCCTTGACAGGAGAGAGTGGACTTTCAAAGCACTGTGTGGTGTGCTTCTCACTTGTCAGATGGCACATGTTTCTCCATTTAGTGTAGCTCTATGTCAAATGAAGGAAGCTGTGCTGAGGGCAGATGTGGGGGTGGGGTTGTCCTCTCATTTCCACCCTCCCTCCCTCCACTTAGAAATCCCAATTTGGGGCCAGGGCAATCTGCAGCCTGGGTCCCAGTGGGTGCTCCCCACACTGCTCATTGGCCATCACCTCAGTGTCACAGCCTTGCAGTGATATTCTGGTTGGTTGGTTTTAGTGATAAGAAGGCTTGGAACTTGGGACTGAGCAATGCTAAACTTTCATATTACGATGGGATGATCCAGTTGAACTACAAAGATGGTTCGCCCTATAATAATGAGAAGCACACACCAAGAATGACACTGATCACCTTTCTTTGTGACCGAGACGCTGGAGTAGGTGTCCCTGAGTACCAGGTAGGAACTGGGCTGTGTGAGCAGGCATGTGCGCCTCGTGCTGACGAAGCTGAAGGTAGGGGAGGGCGTCCATCTCAGAAAGGCCGGAGGGCTCGTGGCTTTTCTGGAGCGACAAGGGGTTCTAGCAATGGGTGAGGTCGCTGCGATGCCCCTGGGGATAAGCTGCCAGGCTGTCTGGCTCCCTAGGACTTCTGTGGAGCCCAGTTAGGGCCCTTTGTTTAGAAGCAGAGCTATTATTAGTCTGGTTTCCTGGCCAAATCATCTGTGATTTTAATTAATCCTGTTAGATTTGCCGGGGTATAGGCACCATTCATTGCTGAGCTGTTTAGTCAATGGGCCACACACCTCAGTGATAGCCCACAACCCTGTTGGTTTTGGGTATGTAACATGCAAATGCCTAAAAAATCATCCCTCATTCCCACTTGACAGAGGCTAGATTTCCATCTCAATTTATTACTAGGCAAACTTCCTTTTTTTTTTTTTTCAAACTTCCTTTTAATAAAAACGGAAGGAGATGGGCAAAGTAAACATCTTTCCAACAGTTTTGTTTACAAAAAAAGTCGCTGTCATTTTTTTAAATGCTGGCTTTGCCGAACATTTCCCTTTCTCTTCACTGTCCCTTCCCGTTTCTGTTCCTGTCATGGGAGTAGGAGGAAGATAACTCTACCTACAACTTTCGGTGGTATACCAGTTACGCCTGCCCAGAGGAGCCCCTGGAGTGTGTGGTGACTGATCCTGCCACCCTGGAGCAGTACGACCTCTCCAGGTGAGGCTGGGGGCAGCTGGCCGTGGCTGTGACCATGGCCTGGTCCAGAGTAGAGCTGAGGTTGTTTCGGCCCTGCTGGTGAGCCCATAACTGAGTTGATGATAGCGAGTCATGTTAGCTCTGGGGGTTCTGATCAAGAGAGGGAGAGTTTTAAGCAGAATAAATGCTAATAAAGGTCAGGAGAGCTTTTGTGAGGTCAGCTCTTAGTCTTCAGCTGTGTTGTTTTAAAACAATGACTGTCATTATGGAGGTGGGGTTGGGGAGCCAGTGCCACATCTGCTGCATGCCAAGGTCAGGGAAGGTTGAGATAATCATGGCAGCTTTTGTGGTGGTTTGGTAGCATGTGTTTCATTCTATGTTTCTCTACCTACTTAGAAATGAATTGTCAGACTGAAGTCTGTAAGCATTAAGAGCATGCATTTCTTTGAAATTTTAGTCTAGCAAAGGCGGAAGGCAGTCGTGGAGGAAATTGGTATGCCATGGACAATGCAGGCGAGCACAGCACCTGGAGGAAGTACTACATAAATGTGTGTCGGCCTCTGAACCCCGTGCCAGGCTGTGATCGGTACACATCAGCCTGCCAGATGAAGTATGAGAACAATCAAGTGAGTCTGCTGCCCCTGTCATCTTGTGCAGCCTACGGAGCCCACACCTTGCTGGGTGGAGGCGGTTATTTTGGGATTCCCAGATCAAAGCAGGCCTGGCTGCTGCACAGGAACCAGGGCATCAGTGTAAACTCACCTGCCCCAGCTGTGACCGTGGTGAGCCAGTTTCGCTGTGCAGAGCGGCTTGGTGTCGGTGACTTCTGATCACAGTACAGAGCAGTGGCGCTCCTTATTGGGGGTCTAGCCTGAATTGAGGCGTGTCTTTGAGTGATCAGCAGACATCTTTGAAGAACAGTTTTTGCTTCCAAAGTTCTTGCTTCTTGCTGATGTGGGGAGGGACCGGCTCAGAGAGTTGGTGTAGATGCACTAGATCCACGTGCCGCTCTCACTGGGGAAGCCGAGCTGCGCTTCATCACCTGGCTGAACGCAGTTATTGCCAGCACTTTGGAATATTTCCTCACAGACAGTGCATCTTAAAGACGTATGTGTGCTTTAAAAATAGCGTGTCGGAATGTACTTTTCCTGGCACATTTTACCCAGCAGGTGTTTTAAAGGAAGCTGGCGAGTGTGCTCTGGTGGTTAAGAATTAAGCTCCCCATTCTGTGTGCATGTGCCTGTGTATGTGTGCATGCGCGTGCATGCCCTTTGTTGGAACAATGGCCTTAAATACGGTCTTCCTCATTATTCATGGGTTCTGTGAGCTCCCCTGCTTGCTGACGCTGACTTGTGACCCCAAACCAGTGCCCGCAGTGTCTTCAGTCATCTGTGGACGTGTGCAGAGTTGGCTGATGGGCACGTCCCCTGGCTGAGGTGGGACAGGCATCACTCTGACTCTGCCATCTTGTCTCAGCCCCCTACCAAGACAACCAGAGGCTAGAGATGTGCGGGGACAGGGCAGTGCCAGGAGCTCCTGGCTCCCAACCGGGTGGATAGGGTTTGCGTCCCACCTCTGATGCCTGTTCGTGCGCCAGCCTCAGGTCACTTAGCACGTCTGCATCTTGTTTTTCCTTTTGTAAAATAAAGAAGATGGAAACTACCAGCATGAGTTGTTCTTAGGATTTCAGATCATAATGTCTGTGAGACAAGTGCTCAGATAGGTACCTATTCCCCCAGGAATGATGGCTTAGCATTTGCATATTCAATCCTGGTGGTGACTTCATAGAATACAGCTACCACAGATGACAGGAGTTGGCTGGGTTAGCAACTAAGAAGTGGCTGTATCCTCAGAGGGAAAACCTTGCATGTCTGTTTCCAGGGCTCATTTTCTGAGGCAGTCACCATCAGTAACCTGGGAATCGCAAAGACGGGCCCTGTCGTGCAGGACAGCGGCAGCCTTCTCCTGGAGTATGTGAATGGCTCTGCCTGCACCACAAGTGACGGGAGACTGACCACCTACACTACACGCATCCACCTCATCTGCTCCAGGGGCAGCCTGGTAAGGGACTGCTCGTCAGCGAAGACCTGGCTTGCTTTGAGTTCCTTTGGGACCAGTACCCCCTGCTGTGGCTTCTAACGGGATGAATGAGCCAGGGGTGGACGGAGGAGTTAGCTTGCTCTTAATCATGCTGTGGGTCAACATGAGCCCTCAATGTGAGGAGGTGAGGAGCGTCGTGGCAGTGCCTTTGTGGCCAGCCTTTCTGAAGGTCAGGCCTGAGCTGGTGCTGCTGGCTTTGTGGCAGGCGCCGTTCAGCACTCTGTGCACGGAGTCCTCTGAGGAGCACAGGTGTTGCCCTTCTCGTCTCTTCTTGTGAGGACATGGGAGCAGAGTGGTTCTTAAAGATAGTTCGGTCCAAGCCCGAAGTTCATAGATGAGCCACCGGAGGCTCAGGGCAGCTCAGGCCCATGAGGGATGTATGTGTAATATGTGGGCAAAGCAGGAATAAGAAATTAAGGCCCTGAAGTAGAGAAGGTGATAGAGATTGCTTTTGGCCCTGAGCTCCTCTCCAGGACAGAACAGAAAACTCCAAATAAAAATGCTTTGGGATCATTATGTATCGTCCCAATTGCTTTAAAAAAAATTGTGGCAAAAAATATATAACATACAATTGACCATTTTAACCGTTTTTAGGTGTACAGTTCAGCCCTGTGAAGTACATTCACACTGTTGTGCACCCATCACCAGTATCCATTTCCTGAACTTTGTTACTCCAAACCCAACACTTTTTTACCTGGAATTTTATGTCTGCACCCAGGTTATGTGTTTTTCAAATAGCTGCCAAACTCTTAGCTGAATGTGGAGTGCAGATAAGGGAATTCATGTTTGTTATCAAATAAATTATTTAAAAAGGTCAGTTATACTTTTTAAGCATCTGTTACAGCTGCTCAGCTTCATCAAGATGAGCTAGCAAAACATATCCACTCCTCACATTCCACTTATCTTAGAGACCCCAAGTTCTGTCTGTCATTGGCCAACACACATTTTTTCCAGGAGATGGTTTCTTTAGAGTTCAGTCTTTCTGGTAGGGATGGAGATTGCCAGCTGGTGGGGCATGGGCCCAGGCTGTGCAGGAGGCCTTCAGAACTGAACTGTAGACACTAAACCTGGCTCCTGGGGCAACCTGGGCTTGGTTTCCCCTTCGCCTTCCTCAGTTTCAGAAAGCCTGCTTGCCTAACATGCCGTGGCTGCTGCCGCGGCGCATCCGCCTCCCCTGCCCTGAGCCTAGTCCACCTTCCCTTCCCCTCTGGTTTCTGGTTGCCATGGAGATACTGGACCGTTCCAAGAAGTTCTCCGGGACCCTTAGTTGTTAACTTGCCTGTGACACCTCACTTGGACAGTGTTTTGTTGTTTTTTGAGCAATTTCACATTGTCACTACTCGGTCAGCACTTATACGGGTCCTGGTACATACCGTACACCCAGGAGATGCTGAGTGAATAAAGGTCACATCCACCGAGAATTCTGCAAGTCACAGAACTTGTGTGGTTAAAGTGGTTACTTTTCATGACCACTGTGTGAGGCAGAAGGGATGGTGTGTTTCTGACTGAGGCTAGAGGGCGCAGGCTCCCGCAGAGGTGCCGTGTGGGTGAGGCCTGGGCTTGCGGGCTGATGACCACCATTCCCTTTGCCCAGGCAGGCTCTTCTCTGTGCCTGTGTTCTTGTCTGTATACAGATGGTAATTGCAGAGCCTTGTTCACAGGGCCATTGTGAGACTCAGTTGAGAAATACTATTAAAACTCACTGCAGTGCATAGTGGCGGTAAACACTGTCTGAGCTGCCATCAGTGCTGGTGCGATGCTCTCATGGGAGGTAGGAGGGCACATCGTCTGGGGCATTTATTGATGCACACTCAGATCACAAGCTGTTAACAGCTGGATGAATATTCACAGATGGAAACCACCTGTGCAACCAAGCCCTGCTCTTGAAACAGAACACTAGCCCCATCGCAAGGGCCCTTGGTGCCCTTTCTGGCCACTTCCCCACCCCTGCCCTGTCCTCTGACACCATAGGTCGTTTTGCCTGTTTCTGAGCTTGCACAGGTGAACTCATACATACCTAGTCTCTTGTATCTGGCTTCTTGCATTCTACCCTCTTGGTGTGGAGCGTTTTTCAAAAAGCATGGGCTTGGACTCAAGCTAGGCATGGATCCCAGCTCTACCATCTGTTGCTGGTGTAACCTCAGGTAAATTTATTAACATCCATGCCTAAGAGATAATACCTCCTTAATAGGAATAATGAGGGCATTAAATTATAATTAAATAATGCCCACTAAGCACCCAGCATATAATAAAACTGTCACATAATAAATGTTCAATAGAGTTTAGCTATTTTTCTGTATTGGGCTGATACTCTTTTGGTTAGATTGAGTTCTCTTCTTGTATTGACTCTTTTCTTGGATCTGACCTTTCAGAACACCCACCCCATATTTTCTCTCAGTTGGGAGTGTGTGGTCAGTTTCCTGTGGAACACAGAGGCTGCCTGTCCTGTCCAGACAGCAGCAGACACGGACCAGGTAGGTGTGCGGTGCCGGGGCCTCTTGTGAGCGGCCCTGGTCATTCTCCCCGGCCGTCCTGGCCCCGCTCTCCCCACTTGTCCTCGTGCCCCTGAATCTGTTACTGGAGCCCCGTTTCCTCTGTGTTGACAGCTGGCGTCTAGAGGTCGTCCTGCATTCCTCACCCACCCCAGCTCCCAGATGCTGGGACGGGAGCCTGGACCCTCAGTCTTGCTCCCTGATTACTGCATCTGCCGTCCGTCTTCCCCATCCCACTGCCCACTCATGGTGCAGGGGCATCCCAGTAGGTTCTGGGGTTCTCCATCCCCATAGAGATCACTCTCACACCTAGAACCCTTCAGTGCCCTGTCACCTGTATACAGCTAGTGATTCAGTGTTACCTAAGGTCTTAATGCTCTGATTCTGGCCATGTCACCCCAATCCCTGCCATCTCCCCTGCCTCAGCGGCATGCCTGCCGCCCTCCCAGGCTCATCCTGCACTCTGGCCTTGTCCTTGACGCCCTCTTGCCGTCGTGTGAGTGCGTCTGTGGCACGCGGCTCCGGATGTGTTCTCTGACCTCCCACTGTGGTTTTTGTAGCCCTGGGTATCCTATGTACGACAGGACTTTCTTTGCCTCCCTCCCTTTTAGAAATCTCTGCCAAGCCGCAGAGCATTTGATGACGGAGCCCAGGCTCACCTAAACCAGTCTTCCCAGCTCAGGGCCCTGGCTCGTGGGGCCTGGGGAGGGCTGCGCAGCCCAGCCAGCCAGTGCTTTCCAGGGCTCTGGCTGGTGCTCTTCCCCAGCATGTGAGGATGTGGCAGAAAAGAGATGGGTGGTGGGGTAAGGTCATGACACCTCCTGGAAGAGGAGCAGGGACGGTGCGGCACCTCGTCATCCTTCCCTCATTTCCTTTCATGGAGCACTTAAACCAACTTTTAAAAAATAGTAAAAAAAAAAAATTATTTATGGGCTACTATGGTCCCTCCTAAGTTTTCCCTCAGAGGCCAGGAGTGGTGTCTTATTCAGGCAAATGTAGTACCTAAAGAGCTTTCCGGTGAGATCGATCTCTGGGCTTGGGATCCCACTTGGGCAGACGTCAGTGCTGTACCTGGAGGGGCTGGAAGTGCGCACAGGGCTTTGCTGAGAGAGTTCAAAGTCCGTGGAGAAGCACATGTGAGGTCTTTGTGTGCAGGCTTTGGAGATGCTCTGCATTTGCTGTGTTCTCGTGGAGTTGGAATGTGTCTTCTCCCCCTTTGTTCCTACAGGCCTGCTCTATAAGGGATCCGAACAGTGGGTTTGTGTTCGATCTTAACCTCCTAAACAGTTCCCAAGGATACGTGGTGTCGGGCATTGGGAAGACTTTTCTGGTAAGAGTTATGTGATGAATTTCTGGTTTGCTTTGGAATAAGAAGGACGTGCAGTAAAGTCACCTGCAGCTGGCCACTTGGGAGGCGAGTGTCCTCAGGACATGCCCAGGGCACTGAAGGCAGATCCCACCCGGGAAGAGAGGAGAAAGTCCAGGTTTAAGGGGGAAACGGGTAAAACCATCACCCCTGCCTCCCCTGCTGGGTGCAGACAGGAGGATGTCATTTTTCAGGAAATAAGTTTTTGCTAACCTGCTACTCTGTGTCCAGAGCAGTGGCCCCCACACCAGCAGCATCAGCCTCTCCTGGAACTTGTTAGAAATGGAAATTCTTCTGGGGTGGACCCAGCAGTTTAATAAACCCCCAGGTGATTCTATGCCTTTGGAGTTTGAGAATCACTAGTCAGGAGGAAATGGTGATTAGATTCATCTGTAAAAGGGAAACGACCTGAGTGGCTGTGTTCTAGAATCTTCTGATAGCACTTCCTTCGTGGATTGCCCTGATGGTGTGTGAACAGCAAGGTGGAGCTTCTCCACAGTAATGCTGTTCTGTCGTAAAATGAGCACTGCTACAAAGGGAGAAAGCTTTAAAAAAAACTTTTATTTTGGCTTATTTAAATTCTTGTAGCAAATCCACATTGGATGGAAGAGGAGAATAATCTTGAAAATAGGAAGTGGGGATAAGATGTCCTGTAAAAATGTAATGCAGTGGGGCCCTTTGGAGGTACAGCCCATGCAAAAGAGCATACAGCTTACTCCAAAGCCCAGGAGAACAGGCTTGGTCCCTCAGAGCACTTTGACTTGCCACCCCTCTTCCTCCCCCCAAAATACCTTGGAATTCAGTCCATACTAGGTGGTTTATAATAGGTTTGTAATAGGTGAGAGTGTGTTTGCCTGCCTGTACAAGTGTGAGAGGCAGACGGGAATCTTGCTGAACCATACAGAGAACATGCTAGAAGAGATGAACCCCCTGAGAACATGCTAGAAGCAGGCAAGAGAGGCCTTGTCTTGTGCACTAGCAGTGGTGTTAGGAGGTGGCAGGTGGTGCATTAGACCCTGGGAGACAGGTCACACAGCCAGTTGCTGCCAGGAGAGCTATTTGCTTAGGACCCCTCTACCCACCAGCTGACTACCTGGGATCACACCCTTGCCACCCCATCCAGCTGGACTCACCTGTCCCCTGTATTCCTGGTGGTCTCCCCATGCTGCTGAAGCTGCTGAGCGACACATCTCTAAAGGTGCCTGAACACCCCTGCTTGGGAGGCCTACAGGTGTGGGCAGCCAGGGTGATCAGTGCCCACAGCATTGCAGAGCAAGACCAGGCTTCTCTCGGCTCTGTGGTTAATGTCTAGGTGAGACCGTGCAAGCAGGAAAGGGGTCCTGCCTCTTGCCTGTGGTGCACATGGCTGCAGGCACCTATGTGGGGGTCATCCTATTTGGCCATTTCCTAAGTAGGAAACTTTGGTCTTTAAGAACTTCATATACGTAGACCTTAATTTTGTATACATTGCTCATAAACAAATATAGAGAAGGCTTTGTGTGTCTTTGTTTGAGGAATACTTCCTTTGTCTTCATATGAAGAGCGTGTTCTACTTTCTTTTTGCAGTGACAGTGAACTGAAATTGAACGGAGTGGTGTTGATATCTTCAGGAACTATGGGGATATCACACAATATTTACTTTTAATTAATGTGACTTCACCTGTGCATGCTTTCTCTAATATCAAAAGTACTGTAAAATTGTGGATTACTTGTATTTCCTCTGTTACATGGGTGTAATACATCTCTGCATTTAGAGATAAGGGCTCTATAAATACAAATTGAGTCTTAGAGGCAAATGCATTGCCATTCAGACTTTAATTTTTGCTTTGTGTACTAACTTTGGGATTTAACCGCCCAAATATGGGGAAGTTGGTAACCTGAATAACTGGGTAGATTGGCGCAGTGTGAGTTGCCAGGGCTCTTGTTTGTGGCAAGTTACAGAGCCTGAGTTTGTGTGTGTGGTTCTTGTTGTCTTGCCTGCAGTTTAATGTGTGTGGCACAATGCCAGTCTGTGGCACCTTCAATGGGAAGCCAGCTTCTGGCTGTGAGGCAGAAACCCAGACAGAAGAGCTAAAGAATCTGAAGCCAGGAAGGCCGGTTGGATTAGAGAAAAGTCTCCAGCTGTCCACCGAGGGCTTTATAACTCTGACTTACAAAGGACCTCGTTCCTCTGCCAAAGGTGAGCTCAGAACCCTCTTGTTTTTGTACCTAACAAGTGGTGGTGCTACTACTGTGAACTTTCTGAGGCTGTGATGTAAGGGCTCTTACACCCTGACCACATGCACCACCCTTCCACGTCCCCTTACGTTCCCCAAGACCTGTGAATGTCATCCTGTAACTGAGGAGGTTGCACAGATCCTAGATCCCTGTTTGCCCCCCTGCTTGCCGCTCCTCAGCTGCCTCCCATCTGCCCTTTGGATGGCTGACACGGAATGTTTTCCCTCTTCTTTGGTCTTTTAGGTACAAACTGAGGAATGGGTAAAGATAATAAAATACTCTGTTTTTCTCTAAGTTTCTTTTCTCTTGTTCTTCCACTCAATCTTTATTGTACCTTTAAATACAGATTCACCAGCGTTTCTGCTCTTTTCTGTAGCTGTGTTGTACAGCAGAAACTGTTACAGCTTTAGGTATCATGAAGTGCAAGGCCAAGTTCCAAACCTTTGGGACACTAGTGGTGGTGGAGTAGCGGCTGCCATGGACTGATCGTGTCCTGTGCTAAATGCTGCATGTACATTAGCTGGCTGATTTCCTCACCAGCCCTGTGTGTTTTACCCCTCATTCAAGGTCCTGGAAGGCCCTGTACCCTGGACAGTGCCGGTAGCTCATTGGTAGGCAGTCAGGGTTAGGATCTAGGCCTCTTGATTCTAATTCTGTTCTAATCCTGGCCTGCCAGTGAATGCATTTCTATTCTGCAGGGGAGGAAATGGAGGCCCGCAGAGGTGCAGTAATTTGCCCAGTATCACACAGCTAGTAAGCCAGCAGGGCTGAAATTTGAGTCCACGTTTGTCTGACTTCTAAACCTGTGCTCTTCCCACTATGTCTGGCAAACTTGGGAGATGGCAGTCGTGTAATATTGGTTGCCTAAAATACTAATGCTATCTTAGATGATATCAGTAGAAGCCAGTTTCTGGAAGGAGTGGGAGATGGTTGGGAGATGGGTTTACTCTCTTGGATTTGTGACATATCATACATCTGTTAATTTTGTGCATCATGCCTCAAGCTAACAGATACTGCAAACTCATAGCACACCAGGAAGAAAACTATAGGACATTGAAAGAATAATTTCAGGATTCCTATGAACTGCCATTTAATAATTGGGGATCTTTTTAACTTCAAGGACAAATCATGGGTCTGGTGGATGCTGTTAGGTCTTAGGAAGGCTGACCTTCAGATGAGATGTCAGGCTTGTTCTGTATCATTTGTTGGGGAGGATCTGGACCAGACAGAAGTCACAGGAGGTAGCTTTAGTGGGTTAGAGAGCTGGTGAGCAGGGCCAAGAGGGAGGGTAGCCCTCTGTTTTAAGGGTAGGAGCTCTTGAGCTCTTGGTCATGGAGTGAGCCACTGCCAACTCAGCATCCAGAAAGTAACACAATTCATTCTCTCATAATTCTTCGGCTGTCCGGTTTCAGAGCATTGTTTTAAAATGAAACAGATCAGGCATTTATATAAAATTTATTTCTCTTGCTCTGATTTGGAAGTGAATCCTATGTCCCTTAGGTGACCTGTGGCTGTGTGGCTGCTAGCATATGTTCACAGCTTGGTGTGAAGCCAGGTCTCAGCTCATTCACGTAACCAGCCCCGACAGCAGTGCCACCTTTGCTTGTGACTTAACATGCCTTTGCTTCAGTTTCCGCCCGTGTTAGTGGGGATGGTAGCAGAACCCGCCACCTCTGGGCTTGAGTGGGGCCGATGCCTGTGGATCCTGCACTAGGTGCAGTGTCTGGCCCCGCACATGCCGTGCTCCCCTGCTACTGCAGGCACCCTCTTGCTGGCTGGCTCTTGCCCAGCTCTGTTTCAGCCCCCCAAAGAGGCTGTTAACATGGAGTGGTAAATTAAGGGTTAGATCACGTCACCTCCAGCTCAGCCCCTGCAGGGGCCCCGCGCACGCAGGGTGGAAGCCAGTGCTGCCTCTCCAGGGGGATCAGCCACCACACTCTTATTCAGTCCAACTGACCACCCGTTTCTGAAACCTTGAGGCCCACCCCCAACCCCTGAGCCTTTGCCCTTGCTGTTCGCCCTGCGTGAAATGCTCTTCCCTCAAGATGGTCACACTTCATTTCTTTACCTTCTTCAAGTATTAGCTCAGGTGTCACCTTCTCAGTGAGGCCGGCCACTGCATTTGAAATTGTCACACCTTGTCCCTACTGCCCTTGGGGTTTCTTAAGCCTGGCCCCTGCTGCATTTGCCTTCATCATGCTTCCCATTATCCAGCAGCCTGCAGATGGCATTTAATTTGCTTATGGTTGGGGCAGCTCGACTGGAATGGGAGCTCTGGAAGGGCAAGGGTTTCTTCTGTTTGTTTTATACCTGTGTGTAGTAGGAACTTAGTAAATATTGTTGAAAAAAACAGTAAAGGACAGTTATATTGTTTTCTAATGTTTGGATTGATAAGTGGATGTTGTATTTGCATATTTTCTGGAATATGAGAATGTCAGGACATTCGGTTCACCATGTAAACCCATCATTGTGTAAGTCACTGTTGCAATGACTGTGGCCACTCTGTAGTTACTTGGGTCCTTTGAAGTACCCAGCGCTGTGATGTCCGTGTTTTAGAGGCAGCTGTGAGTTTGTCCCTGCCTGTAGTATTGTCCAGGTGCCTCATTGCACATTTGGCCTTTGCCGTGCTCACTGCTCGGTTTCATAAACTGTGGCCTTCCTGTTCCCCAGGGAATGCTGATACTTTTATTATCCGCTTTGTCTGCAATGATGATGTTTACCCTGGAAACCCCAAATTCCTGCATCAAGACATTGACTCTAGCCTGGGGATCAGAAACACTTTATTTGAGTTTGAAACTTCATTGGCCTGTGTACCTTCTCCAGTGGATTGCCAAGTCACAGGTAAGGCCGACAGGACTAGGAATTAAGAGGCTGGTCAAGGGTGTGTCTGTGTGTGTGCACACATCAGTGCATGTGTGGCGTGTGTTTAATTTTACAGGCAGCATGATGTCTGTGCTACATATGTTCCATGATGATGCTTAGAGTTGCAGTGTTTCTCTTGAGAATATGCATATATAATTAATGGTTTTAAAGTATATTTTCGAATCAGAACCTGCTTAAGAACAAATAAAACTTGGGGGAAAAAATCACGCACACTGTCAGAGCAGCGTATTTGGGAAAGAAAACAGGAAAGAACCCTAAAGCTCTGTAAGGTGTGCTGCATCTCCACATCAGTGGTGTTACTTTCAAAGGGCAGTGTTGAGGATCAGAGCAGGTGTCTGTTTCTGTAGGAAGAGCCTCTCAGCTTCATGCAGATCTCCTCATTTCCCCTTATTTTAGGTCTGCACATAATCGGTCTTCAGTCAGGATTGAATGGTGGTGCTCAAAGCCAGCAAAAGAGCTGAGGGTACATGGTGTGTTTCCATTGTGTTTCAGACCTTGCTGGAAATGAGTATGATCTGAGTGGCTTAAACAAAGTCAAGAAGCCCTGGACTGCTGTTGACACCTCGGCTGATGGAAAAAAGAGAACTTTCTATTTGAGTGTTTGCAGTCCTCTCTCATATATTCCTGGATGCCGTGGTGAGCTTAGAGCGTTTGACTCAAGTTCTGTCTTCCCTCCTATTCCCCACCCCACCTGAATTTCTGGCTCTTTTAGGCAGTGCAGTAGGGTCTTGCCTGGTGTCTGAAGACGGTAGCTGGAACCTGGGCATGGTGCAGATAAGTCCTCAAGCTACAGCTAACGGGTCCCTGAGTATTGTCTATGTCAACGGCGACAGGTGTGGAAACCAGCAGCGCTTCTCCACCAGGATAACATTTGAATGTGCTCAGACTTTGGTGCGTGTGCTGGTGAACAATGTCTTGCCTGGCTGTGGTTCCATTTCCCGTTTCCCTTTAACCTCTGAATCCTCTAATTTAAAATGTGCCTGTGTTTCCATGGGTTTTAGGCCTTCAATAGGGTGGACTAGAATGTAGTGTTTTCCTTCAGATCTTACATGTTTAATAAGTGTGTCATATTTTTCTCATGGGGGTTGGAGGTTGGATATTAATTGTGGCTACCTTATGACTGATTTAAAAAGGAAGTGAAAAAATAAGCTGTTGTTGGTTCCTGTTACAGGGATCACCAACATTTCAGCTCAAGGATGATTGTGAGTATGTGTTTGTCTGGAGAACAGTGGAAGCCTGCCCCGTTGTCAGAGTGCAAGGTGAGACCTGGGTCCTGCCCTCTAATGGCTGAAGTAGCAGCCATTCTCAGCCACACCTCAGATATGAAACCCTGTAATAATGGCCTCATGCATGGTCCTGAAATGCTTATTAGTCGATGGAGAATTTCTTATCCTTGAGTTTTTTTACTCTACTACATTGCTGACTTGAGTGATGTTTTTTTCACCTACCTGGATTGATGAGTTATTGGCTTCTCATAAAATTTGAAAACATTAACATGTTTTTGTTTTGTTTTGTTTTGTTTGTTTGACTGAGAGAATCTTCATTCTGTGACTTAGGCTTTTCTAGAAAGCTGTTTGCCAGGCAATTTGTATTATGTGTACAAAGTGAAATAATGTAGAAATATTTAATGCCTGTTTTAACAGTACTTACCTGATTAAGAGCTGTGTAACTTTCTACCTAAGAGTGTGAACGTGTGTGTAACTGCAGTCGCTCATCACTTCTTGTATGCTCTTGAAGGAGAAAACTGTGAGGTCAAAGACCCAAGGCACGGTAACTTGTATGACCTGAAACCTCTTGCCGTGAATGATACTATCGTGAGTGCTGGGGAATACACCTATTACTTCCGGGTCTGTGGACAGCTGTCCTCCGGCGTCTGCCCAACTGATGACAGGTCCAAGGTGATCTCCTCATGCCAGGAAAAGCGGGGGCCACAGGGCTTTCACAAAGTAGCAGGTACCATGATTTTTTCTTCTGTTCTTGTTGCAAAAGAATGGAATTACAAATTGAAGGTGTTATGTTGATTCTTGAATAGAGAAAGAATATTAATGATGTTTCTGATTTCACTTGATTTTCTTACACAGAATATGTACAGACAAGTGTTGTTAGAGCTTGTTTTATTCTTACTGATTATAGAACATCTTTCTTTTCTTTATTGCAGCATTAGATCGTGCTGAACTAGCCAGTAATGGGTGTTCTGAGGTAGTACTTTTTAGAATTGAGTCAAAGTGCACTTATTTAGCATAGGGTTTGGCTGTAAAACTTGTAGGGCAGGCAGTTGGTCATCATGCTGTCTCAGTAGCTGGGCAAGTGATAATAATTTTAAAGAAGTAGCTCACGTGGTGTGTATGTGGGCAGCTCTAGGTTGCCATGGAGAGGAAGTGACATCCTCTTAGCTGACCAGGCTGGGACTGTCTGCACAGTGTCATTCCCATGGTTGGTCCGTAGCATGGCCACATGGCCGGGTTTATTCTTTTGCAGTGTGACATGACTGCAAATGGGCTGGCCACGCATGCGTCCTCTTCTGGCTGTTTATCCAGGGAGCTTGATGGGGTGTGTCTGTTAGATGAACACAGCAACCAGGGGGCTTTCTGCACTGATTCCCCTTTTAATTAGCTTGTTCTTGACAGGTCTCCTTACTCAAAAGCTGACTTATGAGAATGGATTGTTGATAATGAACTACACCGGGGGGGACACCTGTCATAAAGTGTACCAGCGCTCCACAGCCATCTTCTTCTATTGTGACCGAGTCACGCAGAAGGTACGGTACCCACAGCGCACAGGGAAGCCTGCCTGTCGGGCCGCTTGGCCGCATTCTTGCTGCGTGGCCTTTATTCAAGGATCTGCTCTCATGTCTCATCAAATGTGGTTAACTTGGTTTAAACACATTATTTACAGATGATATGTTGAGACCTTGATTAATTTGTATAGAGTTTAATGAACATAATCCTTCACTATTTTCTTCCTTAAAACTCAAACTATAAACTGACTGAAGTTTCCCATCATATGTCTGTGTCCCTCTCAACTTTTCTAGCCGGTGTTTCTCAAGGAGACTTCAGATTGCTCCTACCTTTTTGAGTGGCGAACCCAGTATGCCTGTCCACCTTTCGATGTGACCGAATGTTCATTCAAGTAAGTTGATGTGTGTGTTGACTCTTGGACTTGATAGCATTTTGCTTTGGTGATAATGGTCAAGGAACAGAGGGAAAGTGAGGTGATTTCTCTAAGCCTTGGTTCCTTAGTATTAAAGTGGAGTTGGATTAAATTAGATTAGCTGCCAGATCCTTCACAACTGTGAGATTTGGTGATGGTTTTGCATTAAGATGCCTACTGGAATGTGATTGGAGCTGAAAGAGAAAACCTTGTGTGAATTGTGGGTTAAGTGAAGTAGAGGGACCTGGATGTCACGGGACCCTGCTCCTCCCTCAGACGCTGCTTGTGTCTGGGTGCACGGTGATGTAGCGAGTGTGGAGAAAGGTGAGGGCACAGATGCGTGGGCTGGGGTGGGGGTGATGCCCGGCCTGCAGGTTCTCAGTGGCTGTCACTGGTTCTTCTGATCTCGGTCACCTGTGGCGCAGATACGCTCCTGAAACTGGGTGATTGGCAGTGCCTGGGATAAAGTAGAGTTCTTCGCTGTGAATTTCAATAGTTGTCCTAGAAAATATTACTAAATAGACTTCTTGGTTCTGAATATTTAAGGGACATATTGCAGTTCTTCTGTCCAGTGACTCAGCCTGAGTTACATCCTGTCCCAGGGCAAATTTAGTCATTTCCATAATTCTTCTGGTCTGTGTCCTGTTGTGTTAGCTCCTTTTATTTAGAGCTTTATGTCGTGTATGAAAGTTAATTATTTAGTAATCTTGATGTAGTGACTTTAAATTATTATTTCATAATGTTACTTGCTAACATTTCGTAGGCATTTTCATGTGAAGCAAATTCACTTCTTATTTCTAATGAATGTGAACTCTTCTTTGGGTAGATATCCCAGTATACTTAGCCATTCTCTTTATGTCTTTTGAGACTGCCTTTAGCCTTCTGATATTTGTGTAGGGGGAGTATTATTTTGGTATTCTTTGTACATAAAGCTTTTTTCCCCCAAGTAAGATTAAGTCAAAGGAAAACTGAGTTATCTGTGAAGTTAATGTTCACAGATTGTAATACATTCATGAGTACAGAATTATGTAAAATGAACTAAGCTACCCCCACCCCAGCCTCATTCTACTCTTGATTCTATCTTCTTGTAGTTCTTTTTGGAGCTTTTCATGACTCTAAATGCCCCATATACCCATTTGTCAACCTCAAATGTTGTCTATTGATCTTTGTCTTAAAAATTGAGAAATGTGATTTATGAATGCTAGTTTCTGCTCCATCCTATCCTGCTTTTCTTAGTTCCATTTTTATTTCCTCTGTTGGTCACCTTTAGAATGTTAGTTTATTTTGAGCTCTATTTCCTTTTATGACAACTTTAAAAGTCCCTTTACTCCCACGATGTAAGAGCAGGGACTCAGGTGTTGCCTGCCCATGCTCCCCCTGCTCCCACCTTAATGTCAGCAAACACAGTGCTGGCTCTGTCAGGGTTTAGAATATTGGCATTTTATTTGGTAACTCTATAACAGTGCATAAGTCATAGGGTGATTCTAAAGAATTAAAAGCTAATGGACAGCATATACAATGTTGTGTATATCGCTTATTGCAACATCACTCAGTATGATTGGACCTGCCGAGGAGTGGTATAAGCCTGTGTCACTTAGCCCTCTCCTTTGGAAGAAAAATAAGTGTTTAAGCCAAAAGATTCCCAACCCTTCTGCTTCGTAAGTCTTAGTGGCAGAGAACCGTGCCACCTTTCAGTGTGCTTCGGAGCACAGCATGGCCCCTTTGATGGCTTCCCAAAGCCTTGGCATCAGGTGTTGTCTTTCCCTCTCATTGTTGACAGAATGAATGCTGTCCTGGGTCTAAGACTGTTGGAGTTCTTCATGATCGTGTGTGAAGGGGAAATCAGTGTCCTCCGAAGACAGTCTCTGATTCCCAGTTCTGATTTGGGCCGTTTGTTTTCTGGTTTTCTGGTCAGTGCTTGTTCTGGGATCCTGCCTGGCTTGGAGCCATGGATTCTTGGATTTTATGACCTTTGTTTTTGACTCCTGTTTTGTATTACTGGAATACATCTTCATGTAGGAACCAGTGTGCTGATTCACTGGTTCATGTTGTGGAGCCCTAGACCATTGCTGACTGGTGCCTGGAATACAGATGACACTTTGAGTGACTGCTTGACAGGTCTGACAGAGTCTGTAGAATGGAAATCTGGTCTTAATTTGAAAAGGCTTAGTTTTATCCTCACAAGCCTGGTACAGAATTCTAGATTAATAGGGTTTTTTTTCTTTCGGCCTTGAAGGTGATCCATCATCTTATGGGGCATGGTATTGCTGTTAGAGAACCTGTCAGTCTGTCTCTAATTCCTTTGTAGATAAGTTCCCTTTTCTAGATATATTTTGTTTTGTATTTGTTCAGCTGTCTTAGTATGATTTATTTAAACATGGTTTTATTATTATTTATGTTGCTTTGAAGTTGCTGCTTTCCAAAAAGTAAGGATAAATGCCTGTTACAATTTTAGAGTATTTGCAGTTACTCTATCTTTGAAAGTTGCCTCTAACCTATTCTGTTTTTCTCTCATGGAACTGTATTAATCTTACCTTACATATCCCCATTGTGTTCAGCATGCCTTTTAATATCTTTCTTACCTGTTTCTTTACTGTATTTCCTTGGACCTATTTTCCAATTTACTAATTCTCTTATCAGCTGATTTTAATCAGTCATTTTGGTTGTTGCTTTTTAATTTTCACAGCTGTATTTTTCTTTCTAGAAATTGGGTTTTAGTTCCCCTCCTCATTCATCATCTCTTCCCTTCACCGCCACCCCCCTTAGTGTCCTATTCTTTTATTATAGTTTCATTTCCCCCTTTGAGGTCTTTAACCATTTTAAACAGGTTTCTATCAGATATTTCACTATCTGAAGTTCTTGAGGCCCTGATTGTGCAAACTCGGTGTTGCCTACAGATTCATGTGCTGTCTGTCTGTGACCACTCTGTCCATTGCTCCTTCCTCTCTCATCCCATTCATGGTCCATCACCTTCTGAATATCTAGGATTCTCTCTTGGAAGCAGTGTACTACCCTGGCTCAAACTGTCTTCATCCCGTTCTTGCATCACTTCAGTGGCCTCTGAGTTGTCTGTCTGCTTCTGCCCCTGCTTTACTAGTCCAGCACAGCAACTAGAGTGACCCTGGTAAAAATACAAGTAAGGTCAGGCCACTCTTTTGCTGAAACCCTTCCAGGCAGTGATTCCCTGGTCCCATTTGGAACTATAAGCTGAAGTTCTTCCTAAGAGCTAAAAGACTTTACATGATATTAGCCCTGTGTCACCTCTAATCTCATCCCCTACAGTTTCACTCCCTCATATTCACTGTTGCAGCCACATGNTGGAGTTGGAGCTGTGATTTCTCCTGGGGAGGCTGTGCAGAGGCTCACCCCAGACTCTCGAGCTGGGATCTGGAACTTGGGCTGGACAGACCTTGACTCTAATCGAGCAGAGAGGCCCATGGCAGAGGACAAAAGGGGTGGCCCACTGCTGGAGGTTAATGAGGGTGCTGTGTGAGGGGTGCCCTGCTCCCCCGGAGGCCAGGCCGGGGCCAGGCTGTGAGGGAGTGGTTTCTCTGGGAAGGAGTGAGCCGCCCAATGGTCACAGGTTCCGTGGTGTATGGGAAGCATTTGGGGTGTCTTGGTGAATGCCAGCCAGTGCAGCCGGAGGAACAGTAGAATGAACAGCTAGTTCTCTTGGCAGGTCTTTCTGTTTAGCCCATGATAATGGGTTTTGGTTCATTTGTTTCTCAGGATGTTATCAGTTATTTACTCATCCATGACTTACAGTAGCCTTTGCTTGCTGTGTCCCCAGCCCCTCCCCTGTCTTAGGCCCTAGCTGTAGGAGAAGCCTTCAGGTCCCCCAAACAGATTTCTGGCTCTGAGCATGTCTCACTTGCCTGCATATGGCAGGTCCCCAGGGTGTCTCAGGAACAGATCCTGACCCTTTTCTTTTCCTGAATCCTCCCTCACTGCATACAGACATGGGGTGAATTGTGTGCTGTGGTGTGTTGTGGAGGAGCCCGGCTTGAGGGAGTTGACATTACTGTGTACACCAGACCTGCACCCTGTCAGCAGCTCTGTCCTTTGTTCCTAGAACTCTAGACCCATGTTCATCAGCGCAGTGGAGGACTGTGAGTACACCTTCTCCTGGCCCACCGTGGCAGCCTGTCCTGTGAGGAACAACGTGCACGATGACTGCCAGGTCACCAACCCCGCCACAGGTGAGGGACCCGCCCCTCCCCAGTTCCCACGGTGAGGGAACCCGATGTGAAGCTGGGGAGCAGGGCACCCTGAGGCAGCAGTACTGCCCTATGTGCACGTGTCTGTCATCTCTCTCGGATCTGTCTGGTTGGGTTACTTGTAGTCCTTCAGGGGTGGGGACTGACCCAGCTCCCTGACGGCCATGCTCCCACACCTCCTGGTCCTGAGGCTGCCAGTTACGCTGGCTGTAGGTTTGCAGGACTGGCTAGAGTCAGTCTCCTGGTTGCGTCCCATGTTAGTGGGGATGGCGAGGAGGCCTCTGCTGAATCTGCACTGGGGCCCCGGGAAGGTGCAGGTGGTGCTTCATCGGTAGTGGGAAGGACACCTTTGGGTCCCCCAGATCGTTCAGTGTCCTGGCCCTGGGAGGGGAAGGATGCTGTGAGCCACTGTCCTCTGGAGAAAGGTATGCCATCTCATAAATTGGGGACTAATGGCCTCATGATATTTTAAGTCAGGAGCATTTTTAGGGCCACTTCAGTGAAAGAGGTGACTTGTGGCGAGAAGTCAGAAGGCCCAATGCCGGCGATCTGGGCCTGAGGACTCTGTACTGGGCCTTCCGGGTCTGTGCTCCCTGGACTCACTGTGTCCCTGTCCCTTTGCCCCTTCAGGACACCTGTTTGATCTGAGCTCTCTGAGCGGCAGAGCCGGGTACACTGCCGCCTACAGTGAGAAAGGTCTTGTCTACCTGAGCATCTGCGGGGAGAATGAGAACTGCTCCCCAGGCATGGGTGAGTGCTGCGGCTCCTGCCAAGCCTGTCTCCACCCCGAGGCTGCCCTCGCCTTGTGTCCCTGTGGGAAAGGAGAAGATTCAGATCAAGATGGCTCAGCCTCATCGACCACAGCAGCCAGCCAGTGGGGAGATAAGCGGCATGGTTGCTGAAATCACATGGGACGCCAGGGTGGTCAGCTGTGATTTTGAGTGTCTGTATTTGCAGGAAGTTCTCACAGAACTGATCATTTGGGTCCATAATTATATATATATTTTTTCTCCTGTGAATTTTTCTCACCACTGTGTGTTCACATTTGCTACAGGGGCCTGCTTCGGCCTGACCAGGATCAGTGTGGGCAAGGCAAACAAGAGGCTGACCTACACCGACCAGGTCTTACAGCTGGTGTATGAGGATGGCTCCCCCTGTCCTTCCAAATCCGGCCTGAGCTATAAGAGTGTGATCAGCTTTGTGTGCAGGCCCGAGGCCGGGCCCACCAACAGGCCCCTGCTCATCTCCCTTGACAAGCAGACGTGCACCCTGTTCTTTGCCTGGCACACACCTCTGGCTTGCGAGCAGGTGGTAAGTCGGGGTGGGCACCTGTGGCATCTTAGAAGTGTGTGCCTGAGCCTGGGTACCCCCAAAGCCTGGGTAGTGGCTCCGTACCAGCTTTACTCTGTACAGTTCATTCACGCACCCTTGGTGGACACTCCCGAGTATTTCATGCACTCCTGATGGTTTTAACGGTAATTGGTTAAAAAGTGCCCAAGGTCATGTAACCAGGCATTCGGGGACATTCATTCACCCTTTGTGCTTTTTTTGGTCCAGCTTTTCAGTTCTTGTGGGTGACTTTATGGTGATTAGGAAAACTTTATTGTAGACCTAATGAGGGCTTTCCTGTTTGGCAGATGGAATGTTCTGTGAGGAATGGAAGCTCCATTATTGACTTGTCCCCCCTCATCCACCGCACGGGGGGCTACGAGGCATATGACGAGAGTGAAGATGATGCATCTGACACCAACCCTGACTTCTACATCAACATCTGCCAGCCGCTGAACCCCATGCATGGGGTGCCTTGTCCTGCTGGGGCTGCTGTGTGCAAAGTCCCTGTCCATGGCGCCCCCATCGTGAGTATGGGGAGTCCAACGGCAGAACACATTTTGCAAGATTTTTAACAATAATCTGTATGTTGTGTTTCCTTCTGTCAGTGGGGAAGTCTCTCAAGCAGAGAGAACGGAGTTCTGAGCTGGGACTGTGTGGTTCTGGGTCCAGTCGGGGACAATGCCAGGATTCGTGTCTTGAGCCCTCAGCCCACAGTGGGGGCCAGGTCTTTGTGCTGTAGAAGGAAGTGTGAACACGTGTGTAGACAGGCCTTTGGTATCATGGTGTAGGAGCCTCATGGTTGACCCTGACCGGAGTGTGTTTACGTAAAGGGTCAGGAAAGAGTGTTGGTAGAGCTCCGTGTCTGTGTTTGAGTGCCTGGCTTGTGTGATTAAAACCTTGTTAGATGCAAAGCACTTTCTTTGGTAAATAAGTTTTAGTGAAGGGCAAGAACAGGTTTGCTAATAGCTATATATTCTGCCTGGTAATTTTGGCTTTATACTAGCATTTTTTACTGTAGATTTGGATCTTTAAAAGTTGTCTTTATGAGTTGTCATGTTTTATCAAATCCTGCGTCTGTTTTCTTACTGGAGATGCATCTCAAAAGTGGTCTATTTCTACATTTCTGTCTGTGCTCTAAATAGTTCTGTCATAGGTACCTGGATATCCTCTGAAAGGGTGGATGTTATCTGCAGCAGTGGCAGGGGATAACGGTGGGAACGGGTGGGCAAGTGGCTGCAAAGGGGGTAAATGAAGCCATAGCTGCATGGAAACAGTGGGCCTGGGCACAACAGGCCTGGGTAGGAGGCACATCAGTATCATCCTTGCAACAGTGTGTTGGACCCTTGATGCTATCACTTTGTGAGATGTCTGACCTGCTGCATTTTCCTGCCTGGCTACCCTTTCTTAGACTTTGAAAACTAGTAAGTTCACTAATTGGGGAGGGTGTTGTGAGGTCTTGGCCTGCACACCCTGCTGTGGTGCATGAAGCTTCCTCAAGTACATGGTCAGTGCACAGAGACACTCTTCCTGGACATTCACCATCTCTGCATTCATGTGCTTGTTTGCTCAGAAATATTTATTGAGCAGCTCAGGTGCATCAGGTGCTGTGCTAAGCAATAAAAAGTAAGGGGGCTCAAACCCTGGACCTCCCCCTGAGGATGTGTACCGAGGGGCACTGCTGAGCAGTAAAAACAGCCCCGGTGCAGGGCTGGGCACGGGGAGACAGGTGAGCTCAGGGACAGGTATGTGGGATCCTGCCTTCGCTGTCAGGTGACAGGAGACCTGCAGCATTCTTGATATAACCCAAGAGAGAAATTCCAATTGCTTGGAGTCTTTAAAACTGACGTGAGTAGAGAAGTAGAGCCATTGTTACTAACGGCAGGATGGAAGTTGATAACCACCAACAGACTGAAGTTTCTAGGCTTCATCTTTTTGTCAAGACTTTCTCAAGCAAGTTGTTGTCAGCAGCTCTGTCCTTTGTTCCTAGAACTCTAGACCCATGTTCATCAGCGCAGTGGAGGACTGTGAGTACACCTTCTCCTGGCCCACCGTGGCAGCCTGTCCTGTGAGGAACAACGTGCACGATGACTGCCAGGTCACCAACCCCGCCACAGGTGAGGGACCCGCCCCTCCCCAGTTCCCACGGTGAGGGAACCCGATGTGAAGCTGGGGAGCAGGGCACCCTGAGGCAGCAGTACTGCCCTATGTGCACGTGTCTGTCATCTCTCTCGGATCTGTCTGGTTGGGTTACTTGTAGTCCTTCAGGGGTGGGGACTGACCCAGCTCCCTGACGGCCATGCTCCCACACCTCCTGGTCCTGAGGCTGCCAGTTACGCTGGCTGTAGGTTTGCAGGACTGGCTAGAGTCAGTCTCCTGGTTGCGTCCCATGTTAGTGGGGATGGCGAGGAGGCCTCTGCTGAATCTGCACTGGGGCCCCGGGAAGGTGCAGGTGGTGCTTCATCGGTAGTGGGAAGGACACCTTTGGGTCCCCCAGATCGTTCAGTGTCCTGGCCCTGGGAGGGGAAGGATGCTGTGAGCCACTGTCCTCTGGAGAAAGGTATGCCATCTCATAAATTGGGGACTAATGGCCTCATGATATTTTAAGTCAGGAGCATTTTTAGGGCCACTTCAGTGAAAGAGGTGACTTGTGGCGAGAAGTCAGAAGGCCCAATGCCGGCGATCTGGGCCTGAGGACTCTGTACTGGGCCTTCCGGGTCTGTGCTCCCTGGACTCACTGTGTCCCTGTCCCTTTGCCCCTTCAGGACACCTGTTTGATCTGAGCTCTCTGAGCGGCAGAGCCGGGTACACTGCCGCCTACAGTGAGAAAGGTCTTGTCTACCTGAGCATCTGCGGGGAGAATGAGAACTGCTCCCCAGGCATGGGTGAGTGCTGCGGCTCCTGCCAAGCCTGTCTCCACCCCGAGGCTGCCCTCGCCTTGTGTCCCTGTGGGAAAGGAGAAGATTCAGATCAAGATGGCTCAGCCTCATCGACCACAGCAGCCAGCCAGTGGGGAGATAAGCGGCATGGTTGCTGAAATCACATGGGACGCCAGGGTGGTCAGCTGTGATTTTGAGTGTCTGTATTTGCAGGAAGTTCTCACAGAACTGATCATTTGGGTCCATAATTATATATATATTTTTCCTCTCCTGTGAATTTTTCTCACCACTGTGTGTTCACATTTGCTACAGGGGCCTGCTTCGGCCTGACCAGGATCAGTGTGGGCAAGGCAAACAAGAGGCTGACCTACACCGACCAGGTCTTACAGCTGGTGTATGAGGATGGCTCCCCCTGTCCTTCCAAATCCGGCCTGAGCTATAAGAGTGTGATCAGCTTTGTGTGCAGGCCCGAGGCCGGGCCCACCAACAGGCCCCTGCTCATCTCCCTTGACAAGCAGACGTGCACCCTGTTCTTTGCCTGGCACACACCTCTGGCTTGCGAGCAGGTGGTAAGTCGGGGTGGGCACCTGTGGCATCTTAGAAGTGTGTGCCTGAGCCTGGGTACCCCCAAAGCCTGGGTAGTGGCTCCGTACCAGCTTTACTCTGTACAGTTCATTCACGCACCCTTGGTGGACACTCCGAGTATTTCATGCACTCCTGATGGTTTTAACGGTAATTGGTTAAAAAGTGCCCAAGGTCATGTAACGAGGCATTCGGGGACATTCATTCACCCTTTGTGCTTTTTTTGGTCCAGCTTTTCAGTTCTTGTGGGTGACTTTATGGTGATTAGGAAAACTTTATTGTAGACCTAATGAGGGCTTTCCTGTTTGGCAGATGGAATGTTCTGTGAGGAATGGAAGCTCCATTATTGACTTGTCCCCCCTCATCCACCGCACGGGGGGCTACGAGGCATATGACGAGAGTGAAGATGATGCATCTGACACCAACCCTGACTTCTACATCAACATCTGCCAGCCGCTGAACCCCATGCATGGGGTGCCTTGTCCTGCTGGGGCTGCTGTGTGCAAAGTCCCTGTCCATGGCGCCCCCATCGTGAGTATGGGGAGTCCAAGGGCAGAACACATTTTGCAAGATTTTTAACAATAATCTGTATGTTGTGTTTCCTTCTGTCAGTGGGGAAGTCTCTCAAGCAGAGAGAACGGAGTTCTGAGCTGGGACTGTGTGGTTCTGGGTCCAGTCGGGGACAATGCCAGGATTCGTGTCTTGAGCCCTCAGCCCACAGTGGGGGCCAGGTCTTTGTGCTGTAGAAGGAAGTGTGAACACGTGTGTAGACAGGCCTTTGGTATCGTGGTGTAGGAGCCTCATGGTTGACCGTGACCGGAGTGTGTTTACGTAAAGGGTCAGGAAAGAGTGTTGGTAGAGCTCCGTGTCTGTGTTTGAGTGCCTGGCTTGTGTGATTAAAACCTTGTTAGATGCAAAGCACTTTCTTTGGTAAATAAGTTTTAGTGAAGGGCAAGAACAGGTTTGCTAATAGCTATATATTCTGCCTGGTAATTTTGGCTTTATACTAGCATTTTTTACTGTAGATTTGGATCTTTAAAAGTTGTCTTTATGAGTTGTCATGTTTTATCAAATCCTGCGTCTGTTTTCTTACTGGAGATGCATCTCAAAAGTGGTCTATTTCTACATTTCTGTCTGTGCTCTAAATAGTTCTGTCATAGGTACCTGGATATCCTCTGAAAGGGTGGATGTTATCTGCAGCAGTGGCAGGGGATAACGGTGGGAACGGGTGGGCAAGTGGCTGCAAAGGGGGTAAATGAAGCCATAGCTGCATGGAAACAGTGGGCCTGGGCACAACAGGCCTGGGTAGGAGGCACATCAGTATCATCCTTGCAACAGTGTGTTGGACCCTTGATGCTATCACTTTGTGAGATGTCTGACCTGCTGCATTTTCCTGCCTGGCTACCCTTTCTCAGACTTTGAAAACTAGTAAGTTCACTAGTTGGGGAGGGTGTTGTGAGGTCTTAGCCTGCACACCCTGCTGTGGTGCATGAAGCTTCCTCAAGTACATGGTCAGTGCACAGAGACACTCTTCCTGGACATTCACCATCTCTGCATTCATGTGCTTGTTTGCTCAGAAATATTTATTGAGCAGCTCAGGTGCATCAGGTGCTGTGCTAAGCAATAAAAAGTAAGGGGGCTCAAACCCTGGACCTCCCCCTGAGGATGTGTACCGAGGGGCACTGCTGAGCAGTAAAAACAGCCCCGGTGCAGGGCTGGGCACGGGGAGACAGGTGAGCTCAGGGACAGGTATGTGGGATCCTGCCTTCGCTGTCAGGTGACAGGAGACATGCAGCATTCTTGATATAACCCAAGAGAGAAATTCCAATTGCTTGGAGTCTTTAAAACTGACGTGAGTAGAGAAGTAGAGCCATTGTTACTAACGGCAGGATGGAAGTTGATAACCACCAACAGACTGAAGTTTCTAGGCTTCATCTTTTTGTCAAGACTTTCTCAAGCAAGTTGCTGTAAACCCAATTTCTTTAGGTGCTACTCATTGTCAGACCTGATGAGGCGTAATTTTTGCAATTATGTGTTAGCCCTTATTCCACTAACCTTGGGAACGACTAATTTTCTGAAATGTTTGCTTTTTTCTTTGTTTAGGATATTGGCCGAGTCACAGGACCTCCAATACTCAATCCCATAGCTAATGAAGTTTATTTGAATTTTGAAAGTAGTACTCCTTGCTTAGCAGACAGGCATTTCAACTACACCTCGCTGATTGCATTTCACTGTAAGAGAGGCGTAAGCATGGTAAGTGTACGCTTGTTTTTACTCTAGGAGCTCAGTGCCAATTTGTGAGCCAGCATGCATGTTTTAGGTCTAAGGATGCTGGTGTCTAAAGCATCTGCCGTGCATCACATGTTATGTCAGTGATGCATCAGATAACGTGAAACCATTCGCTTAACAAGGAGTAGCTCCCTCCAGTTTAACAGCAGATTTTGCTCATGGAGGCTCGCTATAATTTAAGAACATGAAACACTTGAGAACAGAGGTGGCATTCAGCTTTGCCTACCAATGTATAAAAGTGTCAAGTTTCTTTCTCTTGGTTTAAACTACATTACTGATGTTATTCTTACTGGGAAGTCAGATTTTTGGCAGCTATAATCATTCAGGATGTAACCCAAAATTCAGAAGTTTGCAAGCAAAAGACCTTTGGAATCAAAACACCTGCAACAAAGTTGTGTGTTTCACTTGTAAAGTTACTGACTTCACATCATGTGAATTTGAAAAATAATGCTGGCTTCCATTATACTGAGTACTGTTTTATAAGAGTTTCGGCACACATTTTCTTTTGATTTCCCTCTGTGAGGAGGAGATAAATGGGTGTATTGTGGCCCCCATTTCTCAGTGACTCGGAACGGCTGGGAGACGTACCTGGTGTCACACAACTCTGCAGTGGCTCCAGGCCCCCACCTGCTGCTTAGGTGGGGAGCCTCTTTACTCCAAGCTGCCTGGTTCCATAACTCCTTACCTATGCTTCTCAGGTCTATAGAGCTCTGAGAACTGACAGTTCTTTGACATGGATGGACAGAGGCTACTTATGGTCTCTATTTGTCCAATCTTATAAGAATATTCACATACTGTGCTGCAGAAATATTAATGTACCTGATTGCAGGACCGTGTGTGTGTGTGTTATGTAATAGAAATATGTGTGTGTGTGTGTGTGTGTGTGTGTGCTGTGTGTGTTATGTAATAGAAATATCTGTCCCCAGTTGCCTCTTAAAATCTTGGAGAGGATGAATTCTCAAGCTCATCTGGCCTTCGAGTTTAGGCAATGGATTATGGTTCTACAGTGTATCCGTCATTTCCAGTTTCTAGGTCCATAGCAGGTTTGTGAGGGACAGGGAGCCATGGCTGCTAGATGGGCTTACATTGACAGGGGCAGCAAGTGACCTGGCAGCAGCCTGACAAGGAGGGATAAACCACGGCTGTCGGGGCCTCTCCATGTAGAGCTCACAGTGCCTCAAAGCCCTTGGATGTGTCCCTGTTCACAGCCCGTTGAATGTAAGGATAATCCTGAGTTACGAAGGCACGGCGGGATGTGCTGTCACCTTCTCTTACATGTGTCTGCCTTTTTACCTGGATGTGTCTATATATGCGTCTGTGGGCACGCACAGCAGAGAGCAGCATGGCTTTATCTGTAGGAAGGCTTCTATTTTCAGTGATACTTCATTCCCAAGAGGAGAGATCGACCTTTTAAAGGTCCACCTCCTCTGAGAGACATGGGTTATCTCTCACTAACAGAGAATGAATACTTAACCGCTAAGCCCTAAAACTGCTGCCGGATGCACAGGCGGACGTATACTGGCCTTCCGCTGATTTTCAGAGCTGGAGCATGTGGAGCGTGGCCAGTGTTGACTGGTTTTTAGAAATGAGACATTTCACACTAAATAGGCATTCAGTTTTATAAAGGTTTTGAGATTTTCTTCTGTGGTTTTTATTTTAAGTTGAAATCATTTTTCCACTTAAGTTTACAGAAAGATTCTCAACAGCAATTAAAAATGAAATTCTTGACCATCTGTTTTTCTGTCTGTTGCTGAAGGTGGAAGGGAATAAAAACATGGATTTATGTCTGGTCTTGTGTCAGGCCTTGATTGTAAATTTCTAGAAATGGTGGTGGCATGGGGGTGCTGTCTGTGAGCTTACCCTTCTTGCAGGGGCAGGGTCTCAGTTGACACACTGCTGCCTGATAACATTGAAAGGCCTCTCCCTTTGGTCCTGTGACTGGTGGTGTGCAGCATTGAGATTCTGTCTCCCGAAGTACAGGGTGACATCCTGGAGGAAGCACCGCGTGTGCAGCCAGTGCTGGGAGGGCAGTATTGGCTCCTTGCAGCTGGCGGGGATGTTCACTCCTCCCTTTTGGACAGAGGCCACCGTGGGTCATGCAGAGCACTCAGCGGTCTGCACGGCTCTGGCCAGAGAACCTCCTTCCTGGGTGCAGTGGTGGTGTTTCCGGTGCTCGCTGAGGAGGAGAGCAGTGGGAGGATGCCACACTTAACCCAGGTGGGCTTTCCAGACCCATGCCTTTGGTTACCACAGGGAACACCTAAGCTGCTGAGGACCAGTGACTGTGACTTTGTGTTCGAGTGGGGGACCCCGCTGGTCTGTCCAGATGACGTGAGGACTGAGGGCTGCTCCCTGACGGATGAGCAGCTGTACTACAGCTTCAATTTGTCCAGCCTTTCCAAGACCACCTTCAAGGTAAGGCCGCTCACCCAGAGCCTGCAGCCTCCGAGGGCTGGGGTGTGCAGCGGTGTCAGGCGGCCTGGCCGTCTCCGGGTGAGTAGGGGGTGAAGGGGATGGGAATGTCTGGATTCTTTTGTCCGCTTATGTGTTTGCTGAGGTGACATCTGTGACCATGGGAGGCTGTGTGGCCCCCACGGTAATGCAGAAGTCAGCCTGTGGGATGGGAGTTCTGGACTGTGCCCTTAACCAATCACAGTCCCAGCTAGTGCTTGAGTTGTGCCTCCCAGTTCAGTGTTTTGTTTCGTAGGGTTTTGTGAAGATGAAATGGCCCAGTGAGGTTGGAGGGAACTCTTCCTATTGCAGACGGAGCCCAGGAGGCTGCACATGTGTGACCGTGACCCATAGGGGCAAGGAGGGCCGAAGTGTGGCCAGCAGGGGCCATGGGGAATTCTTCTCTGACTCTAGCCTGGCTTTAAGATAAAGGGGCAGCTATTCTGGCTGACCATGGAGGTGGATGGTGGAGGAAGCTAGGAAGGAGGCCCCAGACTTGCATTTGGGCAAGTGGGGCCTGTCCTGCCCCTGGCCTGTGGGTGGTGGACTGCTTGTTACACCAGTGAGGCTGTGGCCATCTCGGGTCACTGCCTGTGATCTAGATGTTTCCCAGTCATATGGCTGTGCACTGTGCCCACGAGATCCTAGGGGATGGCAGTGGATGGATGGTGTGCTCAGGTGTCAACGCCCTGGCTCCTATAATAGATCTTGCCCAGGCAAAGGCCCTCCCGACAGGTGTGCTGCAGGTGTGAGCCGGCGGGGGGTGGGCCAGGCAAGGAAGGTGAGGAACATGTTGAATGTGAATGATGTCATGTCCACTCTGCTTATGAGCTCTGTCCTCACTGCTCCCATGTTACAGTGGGGGACTTGGGCTTCAGGGAGGGGCTGGGCAGCCTTACGCCTCACAGCCAGCTCCCTGCCTGAGGCCCGGCTGCAGAGCACCACCAGCAGTGTGTGCTGCCGCCCAGGGGAGTGGGGGCAAGGCTGGGCCTGTGGGTGGAGGGAGGTGTGGATTCTTCCAGCGGCCGAGGGGGTTCTCACTGGGCAGGACACTGCCCTCTGGTGAGGGTCAGGGCTGCAGTGGAGGGAGGGGAGTGCTGAGCTGTGGACACAGTCCTGCTTTCCTGCCCAAGCCCGCCTCCCTGCAGTGATGTGCCCTCCACCTGGAGACCCACTGACATCGTGTGTGGTGGTGTCTGTGCAGGTGACTAGAGACTCACACACGTACAGTGTGGGTGTGTGTACCGCGGCTGTGGGCATGGACCAAGGAGGCTGTAGGGATGGAGGCGTCTGTCTGCTCTCTGGGAGCAAGGGGGTGTCTTTCGGACGGCTGGCGTCAAGGAGACTGGATTATAGGCACCAGGATGAAGCCGTTATCTTAAGTTATGCCAATGGAGACAGTTGCCCTCCAGGTAATTCTCTATAGCAGGGAGAATTTTATGTTCCCAGTGGACATGAAATAGACCTGGCTTCCGGGGAAAACGGGGGTGGGGGGTGCTCCTGATGCTGTGAGGGCCGAGACCTTCGGTTGGACCATGGATGTCCCATCCTCACAGCTCAGGTGTGAGCGCGTGGGCCTGGAAGTGCACTCCGGCCTGTGAACTGCTGGGTGCACTGCGGGTGGGGAGCCTGGTGGGCCCGGTGTGGTTTAGGCGCCTGTGTGGGGTATCCTGTCAGGCGTCCTAGGTGATGGTGCTTGGTGAGGCACAGCTGGGTGGTGCTGGGAATCGGGGTCATGCAGGTGTTCTTCCTTCCAGAAACTGTTGAAGGCGTGCCCTGTGTGTTCCCCTTCCTGCTCAATGGGAAGAGCTATGAGGAGTGTGTTCTGGAAGGCAGGGCTGAGCTCTGGTGCGCTACCACCGCAAACTACGACCGAGACCATGAATGGGGCATCTGCAGGCACTGTGAGTGGGCAGGCTCGGCCTGGTGCGGGGCCCAGCAGCCTCCCTTCGTGGATGTCCAAGTTAACGGCAGTAATTCTGTTTCATAGAACTTCCTTGTCAGGGTTCTTCTCTATAAAGAAGGGATGTCTCTAATCATGCATGGGATGTGTAGTGTGGCTGTGTGTGCAGACCGCCCCAGAGCTGAGTTGAGCTGCACGTGCTGGGTGGTCAGCTAGGCCCACTCAGTAGTTGGAGGGACTGTGTCCACATACCTGCTTTCAGCACCAATGATGCAAATTCTTGTTCAGCAAAATTCCTGCTTGTCACGGATCTGCAGAGTGGCTAGTGAGCAATGGGAACAGTGGTGGCTGACTCGCTGACTTTGCTCAGGGGCAGGCCCAGGGCAGGGGCTGAGCTTTCATGGTGAGCAGGCTTAGCTTCCTTGCTCCCATGGCGCTTAGGGACCAGTGACATGATGGAGCCCTGCTGATGTGTGTGGCACAAACTGATGCGTGTTCCCAAGGAAAATGATGGAAATGCCTGAAAACTCACTTTGTTCCTGTGAGTGATCAGGGAGTAGAATGTATGTATTACAGAGTTATAAATGTGAACTTTGCAAGGGGCTACTATAGTTTTGGGCCTTATTATGGCAGGACCTGTCTCCTGGTCTGCCAGATGCCACTCACCTTTTTAGGTAATTATAGGTTTTTATTGTTAGTATTTTTATTTTTTGTTATCATTGATACCTTGTCAAATACTGAGTACCTGCCTGTGAGGAATTGTGATAGTATGTGGGGTTATTAAGGAGGACAGTAAGAGACACTGTGCCCAGAAGGGACAGACGAGGGAGTGGCCGGACTGGGGAGAGGGGAGCTGGGACCGCCTACCGCAGGGGGAGTGGTGGGTTTAAGGACCAGGTGAGGCGCCCCGGTGGTGGCCTGATGGTTCTCCTGTGTGCCGTCCCCAGCAAAGAGCCACCGGACGTCTACTATTATCTTTAAGTGTGATGAAGATGCTGATATTGGGAAACCTCAGGTCTACAGTGAAATTCGTGGGTGTGAGGTGACGTTTGAGTGGAAAACAAACGTAGTCTGTCCTCCAAAGAAGATGGAGTGCAAGTTCATTCAGAAGCACCGAACCTACGACCTGCGGCTGCTGTCCTCGCTCACTGGGTCCTGGTTCTCTGTCCACGAAGGAGTCTCGTGAGTACCCATCACCACCTGGCGGCAGTGTCACCGTCAGTAAGCAGGAGCCTGGCGTGCCTGATGGTAGTGGGCTCCTGGTGTTTTGCCACAGATTCTAAAGGTAGGAGTGCCCAGAAATCTGTTGCTCCTGGTGGCCTGGCAGGTGCCTCTGTGCCCCTGGGGGAGGTCAGGTGCTGGCCTGGTGCACAGTGGGTGGTTTTGAAGGCAGAGGTGGGCAGATAGGGAGGCTTTATAACCAAAAGGAGCTGTGATTGCTGATGGCATCAGTCCTCATTTGATTCATATTTGGGAGGGGCACTATACCCTGCTGGGTCTCTGGGATGTATGTTGATTTTCTCAGCTCTTGGGATTGGCTGCTTGGGAGCGGAGCGCCCACTCTCTGCCAGGCTGTCAGGCCTGACTCTTCATGCAGAGGGAGTGGGCGTGCCCTCAGATGAGGGGACAGCTTGCCAGGATTGGAGCGGCTGCCTGTCCCGGAGCCTCTCTGCTGAACCGCGGTGTGTCTCGGGATTTACCCCATACACCTGGCTGGCACACTCCCTCCTGCAGTCATCAACCATGCTTCTTCCTCTCTCTGTGGAAGTTGCCCTCATGGCGTGCAGAGGCGCCACGGGGCCCTTGCTTATCAGACGGCTATTCTGTCTGGAAGTAATAGAGCTGCCCCCATGGAGTGGGGGGACCGGCTTGCACCCCTCACCCACCCCTCTGTGTCGTGCTGTAGGTACTATGTAAACCTGTGTCAGAAAGTATACAAAGGCCCCCCCGGCTGCTCAGGAAGAGCCAGCATTTGCAAAAAGAGTGCGTCTGGAGTCGTCCAGGCCTTGGGGCTCGTTCACACCCAGAAGCTGGATGTCATAGGTAAGGCCTTGGGTTTCTGTTGCTGTGGTTAAAGGTGCCACAGCTGAGTTGGGAGAGCGAGGGCATCTTCGTGTGGCTGGAGGGTCAGCACTGGCTTTAGCTGAAATTTCCAGATACCATTCCCAATGACTGCTGCTCAGGCACTTCGGCAACTCGTGGAACATTACAGCAAGGACCACTTTGTCTTCCCCAAGATGACGGGTCCCAGTGTGTGTGCTTAGTGGCTCAGCGCTCTGGGGAAAGCCCTTCTACCCAGGAGGAGGTCAGAATGCTTAGGGCTCCTCTGGGTCCTTGCTCTAGCTGTGGGTTGAGTGTCTGAGACTACTTGTATGTATGCTCAGGAAAGCTGAACAGTAGTTACCTGAGGCCATGGGAAAGATGACTCGGGCAGATTTTTGTAGTGTCTTAACAATTTGGAAAATAATAGTGAAGCTCTTTTTATTGGTCTTGGAATCAGTTGTTGAGTGACAGTCTCCTTTTGTTATTTAGAGGAAGGAGGTAGGGCCTTCTTGATTTAGGAACGAGGGGTGTGTTGGGGCAGTGAAGAAAACATTCCCCACTGCCTCTTAGACTGGAGTGGGCGCCGAGTGTACCAGCTGAAGCACAGGTGACTAGGGCCACTCGAGCTGCTGGAATGGAGGAGGGGAAGCCCATGGAGCCACTGTCACTCCTGCTGAAACTCAGACCCAGTCCCGCAGGTCGGTAGTGGCGGAGTGGAGTGGCTGACCGCCCAGCCCCCTGATTTGCCCTCCTGTGGGATTCCTAGTTATCAGGCTGTTTCCTCTCACCTCCCGACGGCTTCGGGGTGGAGGGTGGCTCCTTGCTGTGCAGTGTCTTCATTACGCGTGGATACTGATTTCTGTTCTCAGTCTCCCACAGCCAACTGAGAGAGACTAGAATGTTCGAGGCCTCACCGGATGTTTAGCTAGGCAGTAATCTGGTTCCCATCAGTCATACCAGGTGGGACCTTACTCTTTGGCCCCAAGAGGACAGCTGTCTAAGGACAACCACAGTGACCCCCACGTTTGTTTAGGGGATGTACCCACGCGGGGAGGGAGAGACAGACGGACTCTTCGCTCCAGGAATTAGCGTTTATCAGCAACCATGCTTCATATGTGGGTGATTTTCACCAGCTTCATGGGCTTGGTGTTCAAGTCCGTTCCACAGATTAGGAAAATGTTTAGTGTGTTGCCAAACTAGTGTGGGGTGGCTAATTAAGACTTGCATTTGTTGGGTTCCATACTCTGGCAGTTAAGGAATTTTTCTTTAAAACAGTGTGGAACTCTTAGAGAATTTTACACAGAAGTGAATTTGGGCAGGGCGTAGGGCCTGGGCTCACCTCTGACCTCCGACCTCTGACCTCTGACTGAGCAGTCCCCTGTGCCTTGGCCTGTGTCCCATGGAGAGCGCTTGGGAAGCTGGTACTGAAGCCCACACTGGTTCCTCCTCATCCCCTGCCTCAGGTGTATGTGTGTGAGCCGGGCTGCAGGGAGTATGATCTTCTGAGGACCCTACCCTGTGCCCCAGAGCCGGTCTGTCCACTGAGCTGGGCTGGGCTCAGGACATCCCAGGCAGCCACTCACAGCAGCCTGTCAGCAAAATGAGGAGGCTCAGATGAGGGCACGGGTCAGAAGAACACCTAAAATGATAGATTGTACAGAATTGGAGTAGTGACTGATAACAGCTGCTGTTAACTGAGGTCCTGTCGTGTATGCATATTGTGTCGGGTGCTCTCCATACAGCTCTGAAGCCTGCACGCTTTGGGTGGTGTTCCTATTGTGCAGGGGAGGAGATGGGCTCAGAAGGTCAGCAGCCCAGAGTCCAGACACGGGTGAGCAGGAGGGCTGGGACTGGGACCCGGTCTCCTCTTGCTGTGCAAGTAGTGGTGCAGGCTGGCAGGCGATGACTGAGCCTGGTGGTGCTGCTAACCGAGGCAGTAAGTATGCAAAGAGCCAAACATTTGTTCTGTCCTGGCCCCTAACATAGAGTTTGACCTCTGACATTGAAGCTTTTTATACCAGCTTAGGAATAAGGTCAGTTCAATCATTTGTATATTTCAGATGACAGAGTTGTGGTTACCTATTCCAAGGGTCATCCGTGTGGGGAAAACAAGACTGCGTCCACAGTCATAGAGCTGACCTGTGCAAAGACAGTGGGCAGGCCTTCCTTCAAAAGGTGAGAGGGCTGGGTCCTCAGTGGGGAACTGGGGAGAGTGGCTGGGAGCTCCCAGGATGCCTCCCAGCTGGCTGTCACTTGGGGAGGGGGTGCGCGTGTGACTGTCTAGGGAGATGATGTTGGGGTGCTCACAATAGGGAGGAGCTGGCTGCTGACAGTCCTGTAGTGTTCAGGGCCACTGTGCATAGGAGGGGACTCCCTGGAGAAGGTGCTGGGACGCATGGTTACTAGACTAAACTGTGTAAAGTGGTATTTAACTGGCCCCTGTCTTTGAATGTCAGTAGAACCAAAGTGGTTTTGATTGGTGCCCCCCTAGGCCAGCAATTCAAGTGGCCTGTTTGGGACCCACGAGCAGGTGTGGCTGGCCTCTGGTATGCCCTGGGATTTCAGTAGAATTCTCCAGGCAGCTGCACATCTGGTGTGGGGGCGGGGTTTGACCGACAGAGGGAGCGCAAGTATACTGTTTGTGAACCAGTGATTCCTTCTGGAACCTTCTGGACTTGAATAGGAGAGATGCAGGAATTATACAAAGGTACGATCAATTTATCAGTCTAAAAAGCTTGTAAAATAAAAAATCTGGGAGTAAATTTTCGAACTTATAGGTGTTGCACAGTTTTTAAATTATTTAAAAAAAGCAAGTATCAAATGCTTGTGCTGCTATTTGCTAGATGTTATCTTCCCTATTATGACATTGAGAAAAGTAACTCAAATAGCCTTCCTAGTCCAGAGCTGCCTGCCCACCCAGGGGTGGGGTGGGGGGTGGTGGGGCAGGCTCACAAGTGGAGGACTGGGGGCCTGGGAACCCAGAAGGCACGGGTGCCCTGAAAGGCAGCCAGCTTCTTCTGAACACGTAAGGCTTTGTGCTGCAGCCGCCTGCGCCCTGAGTGGGGCTGGGTGTGACTGCGGGCTGTGCTTGCCCCCCTCCAGGTTTGACCCGGACAGCTGCACTTACTACTTCAGCTGGGACTCGCGGGCTGCCTGTGCCGTGAAGCCTCAGGAGGTGCAGATGGTGAATGGCACCTTCACAAACCCTACAAACGGCAAGAGCGTCAGCCTTGGGGATATTTATTTTAAGTAAGTGAAACATTTTCCTTTTGAGCATGGAAATGTACCCAGAATTAAACCAGCAGATCAGACCTCCCCTGAGCAGTGAGTCCTGTGTGTTTTAGTTACTGTTTCTGGGCAGTCTTTGTATTTTGCTTAAACTGAGCGGCAAGCATTACTCAACTATTAAGTTTTAACACCAAAGATGGTAAATTCTCTTAAGTGTAAAAATAAAGTCGCCCCTCCTCCCTCACTTCATGATAAGCCCAGAGATTGAAGCTGAAACCTTCTGACACAGTTTTTGATCAGGAATCTCTGGGCAAAAAAGCCAGTTTCTCGGCAGTGTCATGGAGCAGGTCTTGGGGTCTGGTGGCCGAGGCGACTGGCTGTGCCAGGTGGGCATGGGGCCAAGATGGCATTGGTGGGGAAGGCAGGGGACAAGCAGTGTCCCCAGGACCTTGGCCCTGTAATAGGTAGGCTTTCTTGAAGGTCTGCCAGAGTCATGTGACTTTCCCTGTTTCTTCAGGCTGTTCAGTGCCTCTGGAGACATGAGAACAAATGGGGACAAGTACTTGTATGAAATCCAGCTTTCTTCCATCACAAGCTCCAAAAACCCAGCATGCTCTGGGGCCAACATCTGCCAGGTTAAACCGAATGATGAACGCTTCAGTAGGAAGGTTGGAACCTCTGATAAAACCAAATACTATGTTCAAGGTAATTGCTTTCCATTAATGTTCCATATTTAACTTTGTTGAAGGAAGGGCTCTAAAATTTTCATAAACAAACCCCCTCCAGGTGAAATATGATATATTTTAAAGTCTGATTCTGTGTCTTGATGTGCATTCATCAGAACAGATGGAGCACTGTGTGTAAAACCTGAGCATTTCACTGTAGGTAAACTTGACCTCAGTAAACAAAGGCACAAAAAACAAAACTTAGTCAAAACCAGAGGCTGTGGAGCTGGGAGGAGGTAGATGATAAAGCATGCTTTGATTTGGTTTTAGTCATGCTGCTTCTCTACTTTGCAACTTCAGATGTTATAGGAGGGCAAGAGATTTCATGTTTGTCAAAAGGACAAAAAGAAAGGTCAGGCACTCTTTAAAAATTTAAATGTGTTTAAGAACCATGCGACTCTGGTGTAGAAGGGCAACTGAGAGAGTCCGTGGAAGCACTGCTCCCTGGTTGGTTGGATGGAGCCTGGAGGCAGTGCATGTTGCCACATCAGGTACTGAGCATCAGGTACTGAGCAGGTCACTGCGGTTAGCCCTTGACGGGACCAGCAGAGAGCCCACCTGCTCAGCCTCGTGCACTTGCTTGATTCCATGTCATGGGGTAAGCCCCTGTGGCTCGGTTCTTTTCTAGTAATTCGAGCTGGGTGCTGGAATCACGTGGCACGTGGGCCAGCTTGGCCTCTCGCTCACTGTGCTGTCCTTGGGCCTGGCCCTGTAGAAATGCTGGATAAATGTTTGTTGACTAACTGAAGGACTGCTTTAAAGGCCTTCAGGGCTTCCTGTCATGCAGAGCAAGAAAGTGTAAGCTCTTTTGAACTCAGCCTGGAAGGTTTTAATAGACTTTAGCACACCAGTGCAGCTTAACAGTGGCTGGTCCTACAAAGGCACCCAGATCCAGCCTTCAGATATTTACAAGCTCTCACAGTCACCAGACAGCCTTCCTACAGGCATTCCTTGTGCCGGAGCGCCTTGGCCCGCCCCACCTCCCTACCCCTCAGAACCTGCCTGTGATGTCCCATTCTCAGCAAAGCCCACCTCTCCTCCACACAGGGTCACTGCCGATCATGTGCCTGCAGCACTGGTCAGGCTCAGCCTGGCACAGGCCAGGTTGTTTCTAGTTGCCAGAGTAAGAACCATTACTTTCACAAGGCATACATCTGTAGTCCCCAAATTTCAGAGAAGGTGTGTGTGTGTGTGCACATGCATTCATGTATTTGTGGTTAGTAAACTCCCTTTTTACCTTCTTCATTCACCAGCACTAGAAGGCAGGTTTAGTTTCAAGACTGCTTTTTGCATTTCTTGATGAAATGCAGTTGACATCTCTTCATTCGAGAGGGAAAGAGCAGGAAGGTGCAGAGGCCTGCCTCTGGCTGTGGTGCAGGGCTGCCATCAGCTCCCTCCCTGGCTCTTCAGGTTGCACTCACATGCCCACTTTGTGGGATGCCTGCTCAGGTCATGCCCGACCCAGGTACAGGTGAGAACACGCAGAGCCTTCCAAGCCCAGCCTACACGGCCTGGGTCTCAGGGCCCCTCCACCTTTGCACGTGTCTGATGCACACTGAGCTCCCTGCACCCTGGCAGCATCTGGTCACGAGGAGTTGTAGAAGGTGGAGTCCACACAAGGCTCCCTGACTCTGATACCAACTACAAGTTTGGGGGCCCCCGTCAACACCCTCAGGCCCTAAAGTTGACTAGAAGGACTCAGAACTCACTGAGAGCTGTTACACATGGGTACAGTTGATTGCTGCAAAAGAATGTAGATGAAAATCAGTCAAGGGGAGGAAGCATGTATGGAGGAGGCCAGGAGGGAGCCAGGTGGTCCCCTTGTTCTCTTCCCATCTGTTTAGGATGCACCATGTTCTCACCATCAGTGTGTGACAACACACACACAGCACCATCAACCAGGAAGCTCACCCATCCCTCGGTGTCCACCCCTGCTGGGGCTCCATTGGGTAGACTTGACTGGTTGGTTGGTCGGTTGACTGGTTGGTTGGATGTTTGACTGCTAAGTTGGATGGTTGGATGCTTGGTTGCTTGGTTGGCTGATTGGCTGCTAGGTTGCCCACCTGGTTGTCTGTCCCCAGGTGGGCAGATAATCACTTCACTGGCACCCACTCCAGACCATATTGTTAGCTGAGGACAAAGCCCAGACCTCTTTTTGAGTAAGGTTCATCTGTCCTGCCCACTGACTTAAGGTGGAGGTCCTTCAAGTGGCCTGTGGATAAGAGCACACATGGAACATTTGATGAGATACCCTTATGTCTGGTTTTAAGTGTATGCAAACTTTTTCCAGACCATGAAAAGGTAAATTCAGCCTGTTATTGAAATGTCAGTGTTAATGTTGCCGTCGTTGCCTTTTTAACAGATGGCGATCTGGATGTGGTGTTTGCCTCATCCTCTAAATGTGGGAAAGACAAGACAAAGTCCGTCTCTTCCACCATCTTTTTCCACTGTGACCCTTTGGTGAAGGACGGGATTCCTGAGTTCAGCCATGAGACTGCTGACTGCCAGTACCTCTTCTCCTGGTACACTTCTGCAGTGTGTCCCCTGGGGTAAGTGCGGTGTCCTGGTGTCAGCAGGAGCTTGCTGTCACTCATTTTCCTTCTTGGGTGAACATTTACCAACTGTACCCCACCTCGTCTCTCAGACCTTAGTAGCTCAAGCATAAGTCTACTTGTGTGTTTTTCCCCGCAGTGTTTTTCATGTGGAAATATTCAAACATGCACAAAACCCAGAGGAAGTGGTGGAGGTAAACCCACGTGGCCAGCCCCAGACTTCTGCCATTGTGGGTTCCTTGCTGTAGCATCATCACTGCCCACTGCTCCCGTAGCTCCGGGCCGTGATCAGATTTACGAAGGGCTTTCTCCTTAGGTGTATTTTCTCCCTGTTTCATCTAAGTCACCGTCTTAGAGAAGGTTTTCGTTCTCTGTGTCTAAGATTTTAAGATCAGGAGAAAAATGAGTTCTTGCCATGTAATTTTTTCCTTCATCTCCCAGTAAAGGGATACTGTAGTCAGCAGAAAACAACGGTAATCACAAGGGGGGTGGGGGGGCGACTGCCGTCACATCTGTTAGATCTTAAATCAGTTTTCCTTTTACTTTCTATGGCGCTATCCTAGCCCCCCCAAAAAAGTCAGCTTTGTCTTAAATTTTCCAGGAACATAGATGTGTAAGGCAAGTCTTAACAAATTTTTAAATGTTGTTGCCATATAAACAATGTACATGATGCAATTAAGAACGAATAACACGAAATTAACTGAAGAATTAGAAATGCATTTGGAAACTAAAATACACTTGTAAATAATTCATAGCTCACAGAAGAAACCAAAAGTAGAAATCAAGACACGTAGTTGTGAATGGTGATGAACATCTCTCTGTCGGAACCCGGGGAGGCAGCTGAAGTGTTCTCGGGTGCTCTGCACTGGCTCTGGCCTGACCGGTTCCTGGCTCTGAGGGCAGAGTCTGCATGCAGGGCTCTCAGACATGTCTGTCGTGTGGTGAGGTTCCCACCTGAGCTGACATCCAAGTAGCAAATGCGTCTAAGTGGGGACTGAACACTGGGGTCCTAATGTTTTGGAACCAGCTTATTTTGCTTGAGCTGAATTTGGATTAGAAGTTTTCCTTACCTGGTTACGCTGTCGGTTGCCCTCTGACCCAATTTTGTGACTTCAGCATTTTTTTGAGTTAATCGTTAGCATCTCACCTTCGTTACCTGTGTGGCCTCTTGACCTTCCCTGTTCTCACCCTCATCACCCCGAGCAGGGCCAGTGTCGCTGTGGCCGCTCTGCCTTGGGGTGGGGAAGACCGTCTCCTAGTGAGCCATCCTGGGGTGGTGGTGGCTGTGAATGACTGGGGGCCTGAAAGGTTGGAAATTCAGTTGTTACACAGCGTGGTTCTCTGAGCAGAAAGGGAAGGCAGGCAGGGTGTTTCTAATTGTATACTAATTCTTTTCACTACTTCCTTGAATGTTGGTGCCATGGAAATACACTGCTTTTTCCCACATGTGGGTGGAAATTGTGAAATCTCAGCTGCTGATTTAGCCCTGCCTTCTGGGACTGAATGGCTTGGCCTGGATGGAGACAGCTTCCTGGGGTACCAGCCATGCCCAGCGGAGTCCTGTGGGTTCCCCTTAGCCCCGTGAAGCACTGAGGCTGTGTCCTGAGATGAGAGGTTGGGAGGCAGATGCTGGGGTACATTAATGGTGGGAGTGTAATGCATCCCGCTTCCATGGGGAGAAGACAATGGAAGCACATATTTCCCTCTTGGATGTCCCCATTGCCTGGGCTGTGGTCACTGTTTCTCCCCAGGGAAGGGAGTGGTAGTCTGGGAGTGGAGCTTGCCTAGCTTGTCCTCACAGCGTTTGCTTAAGAAGAGCCCCGCGGTGGGGAGCTAGAACCGAGGAGGCTGCCTTCCCCAAGTCCTTAATGACCGTCGTGCAGCTCGAGACAGCACCTTGCGGTATTCCTACCTTAGTCTCATTACTGGATCAGTGCATCTGTGTCTGACGGGTCTTGTTTTCTGGTGTGGGGTTTGCATAGTAGAGCCACTCCCTGAGCTGCGGGCCGTGGTGGCACGCCACTGAGGGACCTACGAGTGACCTGTCTTCCTTGCAGGGTGGACCCCAACAGCGGTGCAGGAGATGACCAGCAGGAGCACAGGGGGCTCTCAGAGAGAAGCCAGGCTGTCGGGGCCATCCTCAGCCTGCTGCTGGTGGCGCTCACCGGCTGCCTGCTGACCCTGCTGCTCTACAAAAAGGAAAGAAGGTAAGGAGAGGGAGGCGGGTGGGCTGCAAGGCCATGGTTCAACCTGGACTCTTGGGCTCTTTTTTTTTTTTTTAAGCCCACCAGCTGCCAGAGTCCTGAAATTCTAAGTTAAAACTATGAAAGTGGTGTCCAAAGCAGGCTTTGTAAATGTCTGCATTCTGTGCCCAGGGGTCCTGTCTGGCCAGAGCTGTGGTGCCTGCCCCAGACAGGCGAGCCAGGCCCCAGGCCTACGGTGGGCGCTCTGTGAGCACTCGGCCTGGCCCTCCTGCTTTTAGGGCATCGGCCTCTGATGTGCCCAAAGATGGACAAAAGGTTAAACACTGTTCATGGGCAGCCTTCCTTCTGATCAGCTGATCGCTCTGCCCTCTGCTCCCCTCCCCTCTCCCTCTGATGGGAGAGTGAGCATCTGTTAGGCGTCTGCTGCATGCCGGGTTCGACACCATCCCCTTGGCTCCCCTTTTCTGGGTGCAAGGGCTTGACAGTCATCCAAAGGGCTGGACAGGCAGTTGTCTGGTGAGGGAGGCACAGGAGCCCTGAGTGTGGTCAGACCGGCTGGGGGCAGAGGGTCAGGGCAGCTCTGGGGCTCCCTGCTGCCCATCATCTGTCAGACAAGCTGCGGGCAAAGGAGAGCGGGGAGGGAGCCACCCCCCGCCCAGGTGCAGCCTTTGGCCAGCAGGGCTGGGGAGCAGCTCCCCTGGGCCAGTCATTTGGATGTATGAGCTCAGTGCTGCACTGGGGTAGTGGGCGTGTGTGGTCCTGTCACACTCACATGTGAAGAAGCGGCAGCACAGTGTTAGGTAACTTGCTCCAGCCCTTGCCAGACCACTAAGAGGCAGAACAGGATTTGAATCTGCTTCTGATTCCAAAGTGTTCTGTCTACGGAGCTGGTTTATAGCCTGCTGTGGGGGATTTGTTGAACCCGTGCCATGGATGGGGTGTGCTTATGGGGCGTGCAGCCTTCCCTGGTAGCTGGCCCTCAGGGCCGGGGTAGCTGGCTGGGTGGGACTCCTGCCCGGCTGGTCCCACCCTTGAGTAACTGCAGTCTTCCTACAGGGAAACGGTGATGAGTAAGCTGACCAATTGCTGCCGAAGAAGTGCCGGTGTGTCCTACAAATACTCAAAGGTAACTGCCTGCCCCCCACGCACAGTGCCAGCTGTCAGTGTTACAGTGTTGTCAGTGGCGCTAAGAAACATCATTACAGCCAATTTAAACTAGTAAAGGGAAGCACATCTCCCATCACTTTCAACCTGGGAACACTTTCTTCCTTTCCAAGTTAATCTCATTATGGTTGCAACTGGTTTCCTTGGAGCGTTTCATATCTTGGTTACTTCCGATTTTTGGCTATTAAAAAAAGTGACAATGAAAATGTTTGTACTTGGATGATTTCCTTCAGATTAATTTCCAAAAAGAAGCATTATTTGGGCCAAAGGACATAAATACGCTCATGGCTCTTGACGTGCACTGCCACACTGCTCTTGTACAAGGCTCATCTCAGGCCCATCCCCAGCCAGCCCTGTGGCTCCTGTCCTGCCTGGCCCCTCCCGGCCACCTGAGGCCATCTGGCTCCAGATGGGAGGTGGGGGAGCCTGTCTCCCAGCCCCGGCCCTCCTGCCGCTGTCTGCCTCCGACGAGTCTGGGCAGGAACCAGCAGTTGGCAGTCTCACCCTGGGGGCCCTGCCACCGGGACCGCGGTGGCTGCTGTGGCAGGGAGGAGAGGTCTGATGGACTCGTGGGCTCTGCTTTGTCTCTGTCAGGTGTGCAAGGAGGACGAGGTGGATGAGAATGAAACTGAGTGGCTGATGGAAGAGATTCAGCTGCCGAGCCCGAACCCTGGAAAAGAAGGACAGGAAAACGGCCACATTACCACAAAGTCTGTGAAAGCCGAAGCCCTCACATCTCTGCACGGGGATGACCAGGACAGTGAGGATGAGGTCCTGACCATCCCGGAGGTGAAACTTCACTCAGGCAGGGGGACCGGGGTGGATGGCGCACACCCCACGAGAACCCCACAGAGGAAGACGCTGCGGGCGAGAGCGGATGACAGGGTGGGGCTGGTGATGGGGGCAAAGACCAGGAGAGGGCAGCCCAGGTCTGCACAGCCCAAGGCGGGGGCCCCAGGCAGCCTGGAGTCCTTCCACGACGACAGCGACGAGGACCTTTTACACGTCTGAACTCCTGGTGCCTACACGGGGGTGTGGGTCCGTGGCACAGCCGGGCACCTCTAACCAAATAAGACTTCGACTTGATGCTTCTATCGTTTTTGCCTTTAATGAAAACTGTTTCAAAAGGGAAGAGTTTTTGTGATGAGGGAGAGGGCGAGGAGGTCAGGTGCCGCTCATCTGTGATTGTTTACAGTCGCTGGAATGGGGCACCACTCAGTCGCCAGAGGGCAATGCCGGGGGCCCTGGGTTTTGTCCCCAGTTCTCACTTAAAAGCATGGCTGCTGTGCCCTCATCACATGCGCTCGAGCCAGTTGCGTCTCAGAACAGAGGGCTCTATTTGAGAAAAACCCTTGCTGCTTTAGGTCCTGTAGGGTATTGACCATTATATTTTAGCATTTAATTCTGTCCTCCTATTTATTGACTTTGAAAATTACTCAGGTTTGTGAAAAAGGAAAAGAAAAACCCAACAGTTTTTTCCTGCCGGCAGGGGTAAAGTACTGGTTCATCCACTGTCAGAGGGGAAGCTGTCGGTGTGCTAGGATGGTTTCGTAGGAGGTTTTGAACTGGTCAACCATGTATCCCCTAGGTTGGAATACTCCATTCTGTCTCTTTTCCTTTTTGCTTCCCAATTTTTAAGGGAACATACACGTGCACGCTCACACGTGCGCAGGGCTCCCTGAGTGCCAAGGCTTTGGAGGGTCTCCTGTTCGCTGCCTTTGTTTAGTAACAGCTGCAGCTTTTTCCATGACATCTTCAGTCCTAGGGGCACAGAGCACATTTATCAGTATTTCTTTGGCCTGCTGGTGAATTCAGAAACCCTCCCAAAGATTATTTTGTGTATGTGTGAGAGAATGGAATTGAGATGTCAGAGAAAATAACTTTTCCAGATTTGGGGTATAGGTCTCACCTCTTCAGGTTCTCATGATACACCTTTACTGTGCTTATTTTTTTTAAGAAAAAAAGCATTTATCAACCATTCGGACCTATAAGAAGCCTTAATTTGCACAGTGATTGACTTGCGGAAATTGCATGAAAGCCAGTGGGCCGGAGTCTCGCCCTCTGGCACTGCACGTGAGAGTCCTGCTCTGGGGACAGCCGTGGTTGGACCTTGCAGGGCTGCGGGATGGGGGTGGGGGCAGGACCCTGTCCTTCCTAGGCTGTTGAAGTGTTCAATGAATGAATTTTCTTGCATTACAGAATTGTACATAGACCTAGTGGTGTTCAAATACTGAAAAGCAAACCAACCACCTTACAAAATTTCTTGGTTTGTGCTCAGTTTGGCTGGCTTATTTGATTTCAACATGAGTGTATTTTTAAAAATTGTTATCTGCCCTCATTTTTTCCAATCAAATTTACTGTAAAGTATTCAACAATTTCAATAAAAGATAAATTATTACTTGGGCGTTAACTGCTTATCCCCCTGATGCTGAGAAGTTAGAAGCTTGTTGCCAAGGCTTGGCACTGCACGTGCGTCCCTCCTGTGAGGTCACAGAAGATGTTTGCATTTGCGTTTCCCCTGCACGGTCCTCGTCAGCGTCCGTGAGCAGCACCGGGTGCTCCCTCCGGAGGGCTTGCTCTGGAGCCGCGCAGCCCCCTCTCAGCTTCATCTAGATCTGAGTTCTCTCCTCTTCCCGACCAAGCAGACCTCAGGGTGTTCCGTGTATCAAAGCAAGCACCAGAGAGCACAGATGCTGATGATTCCATGAGGCATCTCGGTGTGCAGCCTGGTCTAACATAGGGGTGTTTTCTTTGGCACAAATTCTATCTGAATTTACTTCCACCTGAATTTACTAATAAATAATGAAAGCCTCCTAATTATTAATGTGAATGCAGACAAAGCAAGAAGTTACTAAAACAATGTCAGACTTCCGTAAGTCATCATCCTTCCCTTTTCTCATTTTCTAATTATCCAACTGGAGTGGCTTTGTACACTCCAGGGCCTTAATAAAGGTGTATGTCATGACCTAAAAGTCACTAGTCCTCTGGCCTTGTGTGCAGGGGCCTGTACTCCAAACCACCAGCTGCCGCTCAGACACAGGAAGTCTCTCTGTCAGGGTCGCATGGAGGCCCTCACTGCCCCTTCGGTGAGCTTGATGGCCGGCAAGTTCTTCTGCACCCCTGGCTGCGGGCCTGAGCACACAGCTTGTGGCCTACAGAGGGCGGGAGAGGCGACCAGGTGTGCAAGGGCATTTGCATTAATTCTTTTCTCAAGAGCCTGGATTCTACTTCCCCCTAAGCTGCTGAGAAGAGCAACCTTCCTTGATGCTGCTGTTCCAGGAAGTTAAAGGAGAACCTGCCCTGAGAGCAAACAGGAATTGGTATCTTTTCAGATAAATGATTTTATTGATGAGAGTGTAACCCTGATACTTAGTTTCCTTTTAATCAGCTTTTCTGTGCCCTTCTGTTGAGATTGTCCATTGGGTAGTAGAGAAATGGAGAAGTGTGGGATGAGGATGGTATAGGCAAACCATATTCCAGGGAAATCCATGATAAGGAGGAAACCTGGCTCTGACTGTGAGCACAGTAAGAGGCTTTGAAAGCTTCCAAAACCAGTTCTTCACCAACCACTAGGGTGATACGTTGTACATGATGAGTCCTGGAGGAAGGTGGAATGCCACCCGAGCACGTAAACAAGGGCTTTGGGGTAGTCTGATTCCCTAGGCAAGTTAAAGAACTGATGGGAGGGTAGGGTTCATGTTCCTTCTTGGGGATCAGGTGACAGGACAGTGTGCTGGGGGCAGGTGGTGGAGACAAGGCCAGGCTGAAGTGAGTCCGCATCACCAGCTGCTCGGAATACCCAGCGCGTGTTCCCCCCACCCACCCCTTGCTGTGAGCACCGCTGTACGTCATCAACTCGGGGTTGGCCTCTTGCGCTCGAGCTGGCCTCGCCGGTGTGTCTTGGCAATCCCTGTGGGAAGCATGGGTGTGGCTGCTGTGGACCTCGGCCTGGCGGCCTGGCGGGGCAGGCCTGTGAGGTCTGCCTGAGAATTGGAACTTGGTGCTGACTTGGAAACACTGCAGTGGGTGCTTTGGTTGTGGCCTGTTTCTTTTCTTCCACACATGAGGGTTGGTGTACCGAGATTGTTGTGGGCTGACTTGTGCCCCCCAAATTGGTGTGTTGAATCACTAACCCTTGGTGCCCCAGACATGACTCTGTTCAGAGACAGCATCTCTTCAGAAGTAACTGTGTTAAGTGATGTCGGGGGGCTCTAACCAACCATGGACACAGGCACGCAGGCACAGAGGGAAGAGGATGTGGAGCCACAGGGACGAGACGGCCGTCTGCAAGCCAAGGACAGAGGCCTCCAAAGGAGCCAGCCTTGCCCACACCTGAATGTTGAGAGATGAACCTCCCGGACCGTGTGCTTCGTTGTATCAGCTCTAGGAAGCTAATGAAGAGGTGAGAAGCCCTCGAGGTGCCAGGCGGGCCTCAGACATGACCGGCTGCAGGGCTGTGGGGCACCGGTCCTACCCTGATGTTTCCAGCTGGCGCAGGACCAGTGAGTGTGGAGGTGGTTTTGTGGGTTCCTTTGGGGGACAGGGTGAGTGGGCAGTTGGGATCTGAGCAGGTTTGCGGGCAAGGCTTCGACACCAATGTCTGAAGGACATGGGCACAGGCTTCCCGGGTCCCAGCACGTTAGCACCTGGTGGGGGCAGAGCTGAGCACAGACCCCCACCTGTGCGCTCTGGGGTGCTGGGCTAGCCCGTGCTCCCAAGGGACCTCAGCCCCGTAGTGGCACGTGTGAGCACTTGACCCTCTGTGCTCTGGAGGTGGGAACGTAAGGAGGGAGTTAATGCATGGCTTCCACCCCATATGTGTACTGGGACAGACGGGGACAGGGAGATTGTCATGGACAGGTGAGGCAGACACAGGCCATTGGGTACAAACTGTCCCCAAGGCCTGGAGAGGGAAGGTGGTGACAGCAGGCTCCTCACCCTTGTTCTCTGACCGGCCTTGGCAGCCCTAGTGTCATCAGGGTTTGGTGGGTGGAGAGAAACAGCTTACAAAGCCTTGCCCTGATGTTGGGGAGGAGCCTGGGGTGCAGGGGACAGTCTGTGCCTCTAAGAAACAGGGCTTTTGATGACCCAGTGAGGGTACATGGCTCCCACACTGTTCCCTTGCTCCTCAGTGTAGCTTAACATCTGTGCGTTGGCCTTAGAGGAAGGGTGCTGTTTTGGAGAAGATGCTGGGGACCTGGGGATGTGAGGAGAGGTCTACCGCCACCATGGGGGGCTCCTCCTGCAGCCTGGGAAGGGGGCACCCAAGGGCAGGAGCAGGGCCTGGTTGCGCAGCAGGCCCTTTGGGCAGGGAGTGGCTGGCCCCAGGCATGCTGAAGGTCACTTTACCATGTGGTCACCTGGGTTCTGTGTGGCACCTGGGGATTTGTGCCCCCGACTGCATCTTCCTTCTCCTTTTCCCCAGAGGTGAGCCTTCTCCCTGGTCCTGCTCCCGCAGCTGGTTCTACCCCGCATCTCCTATTGGCCTCACGAGGTACCAAGGCCTGCACAAATGAGGCTGTGTGCAGTGTGCGTGTAATTGGCCATGGTGCAAATCGAGGTGTAGCACAGGCAGTTCCTGAAAATTGGTCATTAGCAATGGGGCTTTCAGTGAATTGATGTCTTGAGGACTGGCTGAGAGCCAGCTGCAGGGCAATGGCCAAGGGACTGACCCCTGGGGCCTTCGTGTCTCATCTCTCAACATGTGGTGACTCGTGGCTTTGCAGGGTCTTGTTTAGGTGATGAGCAGCGAGCTTGGCCAGGCACCTGGGCCCTCATCTGGGAGCCTGGACAGTGGCACTGGCCTTTCCCAGTTGGCCCTGGTCAGTCCTGCTCCTCTCACTTGCAGTTTTGATTGCATAGGATATCTTGGCCACCCCTCGTCCCCTGAACCGGGGCTGGGGACAGGGGAAAGGGTGTGATGCAGGGGCCCGTTGACTGTCACCATCCTCTCTGGCCCAAGCGAAGGAAAGCATGCCTAGCCCACGGAGGAGCGCAGAAGGCAGCTCCTGCCCAGAGCCGGTGGGGGACCTGCTTTCTCCCTGGAAGAAAGTGAGCAGTGGCATCAGATCTGGCCTGGAATGGCTCTGTGGAGGTGGGAGAGGTGGGAGTGGGTGTGTTGAAAGCAGGACCTTTGCACACTGGCTGTGTCCCAAGCTGAGGACTCTTCGGGAGCTGGCAGGTCTGGGGCCAGGGTGTTAGCCCAGTGTTCACCCTGCTCTGTAGGGGACCCCGCACTCCCCTATGTGCATCTCCTATGCTGCTCACACAGAGCGCTTCCCTTCCGCTCACCAGGTACGTGGTGTGATCCTCACCCTGGTGATTTTCTGGGACATCAGATGGATCTCCTGCAATCGAACTCGGTTCTGACACCATGCAGTGGGGACAGTAATAGCACCTAGTTTGAAGGCTGTTGTGAGAAGGAATCAGATAACACACGTGAGCCCCGAGCAGGTGCTCCGAAGATAAGACGAACACTTCCATCATCCAGTCACTGGTTGACCGGCTGCTAGGTCTGGAGCTTCGGCCCTGCTTTTTTTCCAGGAGATTCTGGCCTTCCGATGCCTTAGACACACACAACACACAGCTCAGCAGGGGCGTGTGGGCCAGCCAGGTGGCGCCGTGCAACACGGCTGACTAGAGGACAGTAAGCTGCAGGAGTTCCTGGCCCCGGTAGCTGTGCCAGCAGCTAGTTTGCTGTCTTTGAGTTATCTGGATTGTAAAAAGGGGGCTCCAAACAGTCACCCTCTTTGGAAGAGCCCTAAAGAGACCACTGGGCAGTCTATGCAGCACTCTGGCGCTCTGCTCCTTGGACTCAGGACACTTGGAGCCTCGGCCTCACTAGCTTCCCAGCCAAGCAAACACTTTGGCCAGTCCTGAAAACAGGCTCCGCGGGGTAAAGATTATTTCTAGTTGGTTGGTTTCCCAGGGCATTGTGCTTGGACAGCAACTTCATTCCAAACCTGCCCATTCCACAGAAACGCATGTGAAACATTGCCCCTGGCTGCTGCAGACAGAGCCGGCGGCACATGCTGGTCCAGCCATGCCCACTGTGGATGACGTGCTGGAGCAGGTCGGAGAGTTTGGCTGGTTCCAGAAGCAAGCCTTTCTGACCCTGTGCCTCCTCTCAACCGCCTTTGCTCCTATCTACGTGGGCATCGTCTTCCTGGCCTTCACACCAGACCACCGCTGCCTGAACCCCGGCGTGGCTGAGCTGGGCCGGCGCTGTGGCTGGAGCCTGGCGGAGGAGCTGAACTACACAGTGCCGGGTGCGGGGCCGGTGGGCGAGGCCTTCCCCCGCCAGTGTCGCCGCTACGAGGTGGACTGGAACCAGAGTGCCCTCGGCTGTCAGGACCCACTGGCCGGCCTGGCCGCCAACAGGAGCCACCTGCCGCTGGGCCCCTGCACGCACGGCTGGGTGTACGATGTGCCCGGCTCCTCCATCGTGACTGAGGTGAGTGGGAGCGGGCCTGGGGTTCTGGGCAATGTGGGGGTTAGAGGGATGGGGAGGAGGTTGGTCCTCTGAGGTTCAGTTTCATGTTAGGGAAGAGAGAGCAGAGTCATGTTCACTGAACTGCGTGAGTCAGGCTCCGTCCTGGGCATACTGTGTGCTTCCCTTGCTAAATCTTCTGGGTGTTAGAGGAAGAAGCTGAGGGTCAGGGAGGCCACTGCGAGCCAGGCTGAGCTGGATTGGACATGGGTCTGTGGGGTCACCCGGACTACTCTTCTTTTGCTTCCCCAAGAGCCTGAGAATTCACTTGGCGTCCAGCTTCCCTGCCATTAAAATTGTGGGTCCTGCTCCCCTGCACTCAGAAGTCATGGACTCACTCCAAAGGGAGAGCTGCACACCGAGGTGGTGTGCCAACTGTCCTGGCTTTGGAATCAGATTAAATCCCAGCCATGCCCCAGATTGGCTGGGTGTCACTAAGAATCAGCCCGCGCCCAGGACCATATGTGGGCAGAGGTGGAGGGGGCAGTGGGCTCTGAGGAGGGGACCTTAGCCGCTGAGCCGATCACAGGAGTCCTCTGGGAGGTGGCGTTTGAATGGAGCCTCAGGGTATTTTGAGCAGCAAGGACAGGGAACAGGATGGTGGAGGAGAAGAATGAGCCAGGTTCCAGGGGAGAGGGAGCACGTGCTACATTCAGGGAGCAACGCGTTGTTAAGTCCGTTCAAATTCAGGGTCCTGTAGAGGAATCCTGGGGTGAAAGCTGGTACCCCACCTTCAGGCCCAAGCGCAGAGTCCTCGTGTAACGTCACCAGATAAAACAAAGGATGGCTGGTTAAATCTGAACTTCAAATAGAAGATGAACAATCTTTGTAGGATAATTATGTCCCAGACATCGCATGACATTTTATGCTGATAACAGAGACTGGGAATACAAATATTGCATGGGACATCCTTATCCTAAAAGACAAGTGTTGTTTATCTGAAATTCAAATTCAACTAAGTCTCCCTGTATTCTGGTTTTTTACATGTGTGTTGGCAGCCCTGCCTTCGTGCCAAACAAAGACTTTGGTCTTACTTAGGTGGAGGAGCAAGACCATCCTAGCTGCCCTTGGAACTGGCCCACCCGTGCAGGGTGGTGGGCGGGCTGGTGGCTTCCCCAGAGGTAGGGAGAATTTGGGGAGGTTGAGAAATGTCAGCTGACATGGCTGTCACGGAACAAAGGGAAGAGACAAGCCCCGTGGGTGGGGGAGGAGGGGCCCAATTTGCTTGTGTCCCCTGGGGGGAGGGGAGAGCAGAGCTGTTGAACACTGAGCCTGGAACACAGGAGGAGCTAGGGCTTGGCAAGTGGAGGCGCCTGGCCAGGAGGTGGCCTGGGGAGGGGACAGCAGATGGGGAGGAAGTGGCAGACGCGAGAGCACCCAAAGAGCTTTAGATCCAGTGGCTGTTGTACTAGGTGGGCTTCCGCAGTGACCCAAGATCTAAGCATTGGTGAGGATGGAGCAAATCCTGGAACTGCTGTTTCCAGAGATCCCGGAGGAGGAGGAGGAGGAGGAGGTCATAGGGCAGAGCTCATGAGTCTGAAGGGTGGTGGGATTCATCTGGAGATACTTAAAGCTGATTAGATGCGAGACCTTTCAGTTGGGAGGGCAGGAGAGGTTGGCTCCTGGAAGGAATGGCCTCCACTCCAGTTCTCCCTCTGATTGCTTCAGAACCACCTTTGCCTCCCCTCTGAGTCCTGAGCTTATTTCCAGGGGTTTAGCTTGGTTATTCATTTCTGCAGAAACAATCTTTAACTTGGCCTCACCTTGAACATTGGAACTTGCTTAACGGAGGACAGGCAGCCAATCTGTTTGAATACCCAGCTTCACCCCCTCTGAGCTAGGGACTGGAGCCAGGGGTCCGTTTGGGGAAGGATGTGCGTGACTTCTGAGTCCCCTGTCAGGAGGCCCTGTCCCTAACTGCAGCCCCAGCCCCAGCCCTGCCCCAGCGGGGGTCCCCTGACCTCCCCTGACCACAGCATGAGCAGGAGAAAGCTTCAGGCCGAGGTGAAGGGTGCTTACATCTTCGTTTCCAGACACGCCAGTCCAAGGGATCCTGGGTTCCAAGCCACAACTTGCTGAGGCAGGACCTGTGGGAATTTGTACTGTGACAAGGATCCTGGGGGCTCTGTGGTGGGGTGAGCTTGGCGGAGAGTGCCTATTGCTTTATAGACTGTGCTCGAGCCACAGACCCTGGCTGGTGAAACCCCAGCAGGAGCGTGGCCAGGCCCAGGAGACCCTACCTGGTACTGCCTGCTGTGGGCAGCCCCAGGCTTTTCTGAGGCTCTGCCTAGGGGAGGGAGCAGTGGTTGGGCTTGAGTCTTGTAGCACGGAACATGGCAACTTCATGAGCCTTGCAGGTGACTCCAGACCTAGATCCTCACGCAGGTTGGGGTAGCAGGCAAAGCAGATGCCCCTTGCAGCTCTGTGAGCCTTCTGGACTCTGCATGGTCCTAGGGCATTTCAGAAGGGTAGCAGGGACACTTTATGGAGAGGCTGGTTGCAAAGATGAGAACAAAAGACAAGAAACAGTGCCCTGTGGCTTTAGAAATCTAGTGTACACAGGGTGGCTTGGGCAATGTGGGTGGAGTCAAAGAGACAGTTGGGTGGGCACTGGAGATACAGACCCTGGGCAGTGAGCTAACGCCCAGGCGTGGCCTGTGCCCATGTTCTAATGCAAGGCCAGGGCAGGCAGGGACAACAGAACCTCTGGGGAAGCTCCAAGGGGCAGGAGAGCTTTGAGCTGACTTTTAAAGGAAATAAACATTTAGATTGGTGGAGCGCACAGTAGCGATTCTGCGTGGTATCCGGTCATGCCTTGCAGTGCTGAGCTGCTCAAGAGCTCAGACAGCAGGGTCTGGGCAGAAGGCAGACACTACCATAGGCATAGTTTGAAAGTCAGGTGGTAACACAAAGCATCATCTGTACGTTATTTTTAAAAGTGGTCATGTCAAGGAAGGAAGCAGCCAGTCAGATGGAACCTTCCCTGGCTGAGTGCAGAGGCCCTGGGGCTGGGACAAGGGTGTGGTTCACTGGTAGCCTCAGAGGCTGAGGGTGGTAGGTAATAAAACCTCCTTGTTAAAGTTGAATGATTTATTCTTTACTCAAACCATTTTCACATGATCTCTCCCATTCAGTGCTCACAGCAGCTCTGTGCGTATGACAGGACAGGCACAATACACGTGTTCGGACTGGGAAACTGAGGCCCAAAGGTGCTAGGTGACTCCCCTGCCTGATGTGTGCAGCCATGCCTCCAAAGTAAATGGAGAGACGCTGGAGGGAAGGATCGATGTGTGCCTGGACACACCCAGGCAGGGCTGAGCCAGGCCTGGGCAGGGGTGAGGGCCCCTGCCTTGGTCCCCAGACCTGCTGTCTCTGAGGGCTTCCACATGCCCGGGCCTGCACTGGCCTCCCCACACTTGTGTCCAGTGCCCGGCCCCCCGCCCTGCACCCCTCCCTCCCCCCCGCCGAGTCCCAGGCAGTGCAAAGCTCTGGCCTCGCCTCTGCCTCTCCCCTCGGTCCCTTCATCTCCTGGCTTGGGCTGCAAGGCCCCTCTCAGGTTCCCGGGGTGTGCGCCGCTCCCGAGAAGCCCACTGTCTCCCCCACCCCACTGTGTCTTTGCTCAGCTCTTCTCTTGCTGCCACTCACAGGTCCATAGTCACAGCAGAATTTGCATATTGGTGCTGGAATTTACATAATTAAATATACAATTGATACTACTTAATTAAGGGCTTTTGACCAATTCTAGAAATGTTGTATTTCGACCAGTTCTAGAAAGTGTCATATTTATGTTGCTACAGTTTCAGTTTTAGAAAATCACCTTGTATTTTTTTTCAGAAAACTTGTATGACCCTGTTGTCCTTTGATAACTATCAATGGTCACACACTTGACAACAGCCCCTTTAATTACAATATAGTGAGGAGAGAAGACAGAGAGATGAGGCCTAGAGTGGTGGTGACCGACATTCTCCAGAACCCTTGCATTTGTCTCATGAAAATGTGCTCACAGAAAATGACATGAAACGTAAGGGAAACCGTGTTTTGCTTACATTCACTGTCCCGGGAGAAGCTGGAAGGTGTAGTCTGACTTAAAAATGGTCTTGTGTTTCCTGTCCCTCCGCCTGTGGTGTGGCTGGAAGTTTGGCCTGGTGTGTGATGCCTCGTGGAAGGTGGACCTCTTCCAGTCCTGCGTGAATGTGGGCTTCTTCCTGGGCTCTCTGAGTGTCGGCTACATCGCAGACAGGTAGGTGGAGGCCCAGCCAACCAAACGTGGTGTCAACGCCGTGAGGAGAAGGGGTTCAGGGGACAGCCGTGGCTGGTTGGAATCCATTGTGAAAATTGATGGGGACAACACATAGTAGCTGGTGCTCTGGACAAAGATGGGATGGGTGTGGATTTGGATGATTTCAGTGGGGGAAGCTGCATGCAGGGATGTGGTTGGGGCTCAGAGAAGGTGGGGACAAGGCCGAGGTTTATGTTTCGGGCAGTGGGTGGGGCCATTTGTGAGATGGGGTCGGGTGGTTGGGAGCCAGATGGGCGCTGCATCCAGAGCAGCCTGTGACACCTTGAAGAGCAGTCAAGTGGGCAGGTGGCCGTGGGAGTTGCATTCAGGAGAAGGTTTGGCCTAGAGTGGAGTGTTAGGGATCTGTCCCAGTAACTGGTATTTAAAGCTATAAACTATTATTTGAGATGAGCCAGGGGAGGATATATAGAGAGAACTTCAGCACCTGGAGGTCAGCAGGGAAGGGTTGCTGACAAAAGAGATGATAAGAAATGGCAGCAAAGTGGAAGAACAGCTACTCTACTGGGGTGGTGTGACTTACAGGAAGTGGTATGGCCTACGGAAATGTGGTGTGACCTCAGAACATGGAGGGACCTAGGGGAACATGATGTGACCTGTGGGAATATAGTGTGACCCCTGGGAAGGAGAGGGGAGTTGCCCGGGGACAAGCGGCCATGAGAACCATGGTGAGGGCGACACAGGAAGGGGAGTGAGTGTGGCTGACTCTAAAGTGAGTTGACTATGAGGGGAGGGGGAGGGGGGCAGCTTTGAGGGTGGGGGTCCAGGCTGCAGGCGACCCTTTTGTGGGGGAGCTGGGGCCCAAGGGCACAGGCCGGTGCTGGCTGTGAGTGCAGTGGGTGGGCTTGGCCGCCCTGGGAGGATATGCTGGCAGAGGGCAGAGGTGGTGGGCGCGTGCCTTAGGTCTGCAACCTGACCTCAGAGCAGAGGGCGTGGGCTTCTGGCAAGGAGTGTCCCTGCTGAACCGATGGGGACTGGGGGGCGGGTGCTGGCTGGGGGGCGGCAGGAGGCTCGAGGCATAGCTGCTGGGATCTAGGAAGGAGGCAGGTAGAGAAAAGCCAAGGTCTCTGTGGCCTCGGGTGACACCAGCCCCACTTCCTTGCCCACCAGAGCATGTGGGGCAGGATTCCAAGGGTCCAGTCAATAAAGCACAGCGCTGAGATGAAGCTTCAGCAAATAATTTGCCTGATTCATTTATGAGAAAAGCAAAGAAAAAGTAGTCTTCGACACCTGCCCTGTGAGAACTGAGTATTTCCCCAGAAAAGCTTTTCTGATCATTGATAAGACAGTGTGTGGTGGGGGGGCCGGGTGGGTTCCCAGCGCACCCAGTTAAATCTTGTTCGTAGTACTTCAGGCTGGTAAACACAGGCGGTGAGAGGAGAAAGCCCGACAGTGGGGACAGTGGCGCGGGGGCTACCGCGCGTTGAGAAAGGTGCAGCGGGGAAGCCCCATTGCTGAGATGGGTGGGATGCTGGGTTCTCTTTGGAGTGATTTACTGGCCTTGGGCCGCTGCAGATCCCCGAGGACTGTGGAGGTTGGGCCTGGGGCTGGGGCGGTGGCATCTGACCCCCTCAGGCCACTCAGGAAAGCAGGGACGTGGGCCTCGGGGTCGGGACCCTGCCGCCTGTTGTGCCCAACTGGCCCCGAGTACTCACCACCGCCCCTTCCTCCCTGTCTCCTTGCCTCTGAAGGTTTGGTCGCAAATTATGTCTCTTGACCACCTCCCTGGTCAGCAGCGTCGCAGGCGTGCTCATGGCTGTGGTGCCAGACTACACGTCCCTGCTGCTCCTGCGCGTGCTGCAGGGCCTGGTCAGCAAGGGCAGCTGGACGGCTGGCTTCACCCTGAGTGAGTGTCCGCTGGGCGGGGGCCGTGGAGTTAGGAGCCATGGAGGCCAGGTAGGGGGGGTAGGTGGGATGAAGCCAAATGTGGAAGTGAATTTTGGGGGGAAGAGGGTGTTTGCCCTGTGAGGAGAAATGGTGGTAAGTCTGCATGTGGTTGCAGGGCGTGGGGCCTCAGTGGCCTCCTTTTCTTTCATTTTTGACTGAGAGACGATTAAATAACCTCTTCAATAGATCAGTGTTTCCATATCAGCTAATCTGTTTAGGAACAAAAATAGATCCCCAAATTGGCATCACACCATGGCCAAGGTTACAGCAGGGGTGGGTGCACAGAGGGGGTCAGGTGGGAGATTATTTTATCATTTTAAATATGAAGAACCAGCATCTTCTTAAAAGAAATACAATCAACTCAGCTAGTTTGAACCATACTCAAGAGTTAGGAGAGGAAGTAAGCAGAGTGATAAACATCATGATTTTTAAAAATTGAAGTGTAAACCAATGTGAGTAATTCTACATACTTTTTTTCTTTCACATTTTCTATGTGGGTAGAAATAGAAAGTGGAAATACCTTCTTAGAAGAAAAGTAGTATGACAGGCCAATTGTGCTTCCCCAGCCCGTGGTGGGGCAGCTCACAGCAGCGAGGGTAATCCAGTTTTGTTCATTTGCGGAGAACTGCCATGTCCTGCTCCATCTGAAACTGTGTCCTAGGGCCTGGCGTTCTGAGAAGTAGTTCACTAGGGCCCAGAGAAACCACCCTCCTCCCTGGAGAAACGGAACATACTGGTTAAGTTCAGTGAGTTCAGGTCTGTTTATGGAGAGGCCGGCCATCCGTATACCGAAGACGCAGGGTTTGGCCCATAGTTAAGATTCACTTGGGGTCGAAGCCTTGCACCAGTGCCAGCCAGCCATGTGATCCTGGCAAGGTCCACAATCTCTTGGGCCTTGATAGCTTCAGAGTGGGCGCGACAGTGCTGTGAGCAGCAGGTGGCCGGAGGTGAGGCTTGGAGCAATATCTGCCTCATGACCGACCTGCAGCGCAGGGTGGCTGATGCCCGACAGCAGGCCCTGGGCCAGGGCTGGGGGTACCAGGTAGATAAGGTACCCTTCCTCCCTTCAAGAGGCTCAGAGGCTGGAGAGAGGAGACAGGCGCCAACATGGGGAGTGATCTGTGAGGGCGGCTCACGGTCCTCTGACGACTTTGCCCACGTGCTTGCAGGTCACACGCTCCCTGGTCCCCTGCTGGCGGCTTCTCCGCTTCTCCCTGATGCCCCAACATGGCAGGACCCACGACCGTGTCCTCCCCCACCTCCAAGCCTGTTCCACCTGCAGCCTGCCCCACCCCCACCCCGGTCCACAAGGGACTCCCGGTCCGGTCCGGCAGCTCAGGCCAGACGTCCGAGTGTGGCCTCCGCTCTACCCCCGCTGGCTCCAGGTGGCCAGGGGTCTCTTCCCTGGGCTTCCCTCTCCAGGGGCAGAACTCCACCCCGCTCGCCCCTCTGCCGCCACCGCCCGTTCCGGCCCCCTGCACTGCTTACTTCATCATGGTCTCTGGACCCAGTGAATCCACAGAGTGAGCCTTAAAACGACACGGGGTCACTTCCCTCTGCCGCCATGATTCTGTTTCACACAGCGGAAGCCAGTGTCCTGCTCTGCCCTGTGAGGCCGGGGAGGGCGTGCCCATGGCCCCAGTCGCCCATCTCCTTAATGGCCCATTTCTTCCATGCAGTTCACCCCACTGCTCTCTGGACACTAGCAAGCCAGGCACTCCACACCCTTCTGGCCACCCTCTACATCCGAGCATGCATGGCGGTCTGGCCCGGCATCCGACTTGCCCCTTTGTCCTGGTGTTACTGCCGTTTCTCACAAGGCTGTGTGGTTACAACCCAGGACTGTCCAGCGATGCATCCCGGACACCCAGCATGGTGTCAGAGATGTCGGTTGGAGGAACGGATGCCCCTGGGGGCACAAGAGATGCTCTAGCTCCGTCTGGAGCTTGTAGGAGGGAGGCTGTAAGGCGGAGAGCCATGTGGACTAAGTCCACAAGTGCGAGAAGGGTGACGGCAGATGGGGGTCTTCAGAGGGCCAACCAGAGAAAAGCAGGGGCCACATGGGGTGTTCCTGGGGAGCCTCAAGCCGAGTGGGATCAGCAGGACATGAAAAGGGGGGACTCAAGCCTGCTTGTCGTGGGGGGAAGGGGACCTGCGGGACGTGGGAAGCAGCCTGAGCAGTGATGTGTACCCTTTCAGTCACAGAATTCGTGGGCCCGGCCTACAGAAGGACGGTGGCGATCCTCTACCAGGCGGCCTTTGCGGTGGGGCTCCTGCTGCTGCTGGGGCTGGCCTACGCCATCCCTCACTGGCGGTGGCTCCAGCTGGCCCTGTCTCTGCCCACCTGCCTCTTCCTGCTCTACTACTGGTACCGTGCCCTGCCACCCGGCCCCTTCTCCCCTCTTCTTGCTCAAGTGACTGAGGCCTGCCTGCCGACCTTGGCCGCCACATATCCCAGGCCCAGGGCTTCCTGCCGTTAGTGCCATTTGGGGCGCTCTACTGTTAACAGGGTGGCCTTCATGACCCAGGGAGCTGCCCTCCTACAGAGCCTGTTTGAATTCATATGCCCCTACTCAGAGGTGTGCAGCGTTGTAAGACAAACCCAGCCCGCCAGCTCGGAGGCACTGCCCTTAGCTGAATGAATGAATGGTCTCGGAGAGTGTGTACAGCAAGCCATTCTGAAAGAAGCTGGGTGCAAACAAAGTGTTCGCCCTGTTAGCTTTCGGCACCTGTCAGCATGTAAAGGGCTAAGGGACTGGACGGGTGAGTTTTGTTGCAAGAGAGGGAAGACACGAGGGGCTCTGGAGAGAAGGGACTCCTTCCCGCACACGGTCACCGTCCGCCGAGGGAAGCTCTCCCCTGTGGGCTGCGCCGGAGGAGACCCAGTCCCTGTAAGCGAAGCCTGGCACCTGCACTTGCGCATGTGTGGTCAGGAGGAGCCTGCTGCCTCCCTGCTCAGGTGGGCCAGGGGCTCCCCGTGGGAAAGGCCTCTCTGGCCAGGTGCAGTGGCCAGGCGAAATGGGACTGTACCTCAGCATTTTCAGAACACCTTATTGCAGACTGCCCAGTCTTCGGCTTGTAACGTAACGTCCTTTCTCCATTTGGGCGGACAGCGTGGTACCCCTCCGATGTTGGAGGGGAGTGAGTGGAGTTTATTCGGAAGATATTTTGAGGCTTGTACCATAGCCCTTGTAGTACAAGGAGAAATCCTGCAGGAGTGTGGGGGTGGGGGGCATGTTACCTGTGAGAAATTCCCTGGTGAGGATGGGACCCTGCTCCGTGGTTGACGGCTGCACAGGAAGCAGTGGTTTCCTGTTGGTCTGTAAATCTTAGCAGGTGGCACTGGAGTTCAAATGGCCCTCCGAGCTCCTTCACAGCTGTCTGGGCCAGCACCCAGTGACCCTAGATCCTTGTCTGTTGGCTGACTGGGGAATCACAGGCCCAGTGAGAGGAGGGTGGGCTGCTTGGAGCAACAGCATCACTGATGAGATGAGCGTCGGGGAAAATGCCAGGTAACGGTGATCTGTGCCTGCAGGTGTGTGCCCGAGTCCCCCCGATGGCTGTTGCTGCAAAAGAGAAACGCCCAAGCAGTACGGGTAATGGGTCACATTGCCCGAAAGAATGGGACCCTGTCTCCTCCTGATCTAAAGGTGACAAGCTGGCAAGGGGTTATTCAAGTCCCTCAATTTTGGGCTGGATGTATGGTTTAGAAAATGCCTCTGGGGCCACCTTGAGAAGCAGGGGGGATGGGAGGAATTTGGGATGGTGGTTGTGGAGCACAGAAATGGCAATGCCATCCTGCGGGGCTGTTCACAGCAGCCTGGATGCACTGATATTCCTACTCCCTCCCAGATGCTCTCTCTCGAAGAGGACGTCACCGAAAAGCTGAGCCCTTCCTTTGCAGACCTGTTCCGCACACCGCACCTGAGGAAGCACACCTTCATCCTGATGTACCTGTGGTAGGGCTTTTCCCATACCCCACTCCCGAGACAGAATCAGCTGCACGTGCATGTACTGGCGCAGAGGTTAGACAATGGTACAATGCAGGTGGAAAAAGAACCTGAAAAAGAATTAGCAGTTTTTGAGTGGCCAAAGAGCTCTTCGAAAGACACCGTTATTTCTCCCTTGAGGACTGAGTACTGGGCGAAAGGCCTTACTTTAGGACAAAGAGTTTGTTACATATGACAAGTCAATAGTAAGACCATATTCTCTCCTCCGTGCTCAGGTGGTTTTTCGCCTAGCCTGCAGCACTATGGCTGAGTAGCCAGACTCAGGGTTCCCCCTTCAGCCGGAGCCGCTCTGCTGCTGGGCACTTGTTTTCACATAAATGTCCAGTTTCATTGGAATGAAGGGTTTGGTGCCTGACACGTAATAGCCCTTCATTAAGTATTTCGAAGGTTGAATGAATAACCACTGTTCCATAGAATCCACACCAAGTTCTTTAGACTCACCGGCCAGGCTTACCATGCACCCCCACCCTCTCCCTGTCTCACCCGTCACCCTGTCTCTGTGCGTACCCCCGGGGGTCCTGCGCCCGGCCACGTCATGGGCCCAGGGGCCTTTGCGAACACCCAGGTGCCTGGTGCATTTCCACCATCCTCGGCGTTCAGTTCAGCAGCGGCCCGTCCATGCAGGGACCGGGACTGCTGGAGACCAGAAGAACCATGCCCCTCCGCACTGCTCGCTGTCCTCGCCTCATCCCCTCGCCGTGCCTCCCGGGGCTATGCTTCGGCTCTCCACTCCTGGACGCCTCTCCACCCAACCCCTCTGCAAACTCTGCTCTGTCTTGAAGGGATATGCAGAATCTGCCATTTCTCCTCACCGCTTTTAATGTCACCGTCACCGTGTTACTGCACTGCCCTGTCCACCCAACACCTGCCCCTCAGGTGCTGCTCCCTAAGCCGCAAAAGGATTCTGTTAAAGCTCAACAGTCCAGATGACTCTCCTGTACACGCTTCCACTGGCTCCCTGATGCACTCAGAGTAAAGCCAAATCCCTCTCCAGGAGCCACAAGACCTCACAGGGCCTGTCCGGAGACGCCTCTCCTACTGTCCTTACATTGCCATGACTCAGGAGGTGTGCCCACCACCTCCTGGCCGTGCCTCTCTCAGAAACCTTTGTCATCTCTGTGACTCAGTTTCCTCAACAGCCAGTGGGGGTAGTGACAGTGAACATCGCATAGGTGTGTTGGGAGAACTGAGATAATACGAGTACAGGGCTTAGAATGGTGTCCAGCTAGATGGAGCACACCCCGTTACATGTGCATGCAATTCATGGGTGCTGCCGAAAGATGGCAGCCCTGTACACATTAACTGTCTTGACAAGGAACTCCAGGTTATATACTCCTTTCTCTTAAATCAATCTCTTTATCAACAGGATGTGAGTGTTCCCATTTAACTGGCTACATGGCCCAGAGGGGCACCTGGGCTTAAAGACTCACTGAAATCCAGTCGAGCATCTTCCTTCACATTCTCTTGATGCTTTTGTCCAATCCAGAATAAGTTGGGACCAGAAACAAAAGCATCCCAGTGCTTCTCTGGGTGTGTTAATGAGAAATGTCAGCTGTGATTTTAGTTATTTAGAGCCAACAGGCAATTTTCATGCTGGGATAAGACAGTAATTTCTTATCATCTATAATCTCTTCTCACAGTGTAAATACCAATATCATATAAAATGTTTCTAACCTCCAAAGTTATATATTTTGCCAAAAATGAAACCTGGAACTCTAAATTCTCCCTTGAATAAGAACAACCTGCCCGGCCCACCTCGGTGTGGATGCCATGTTCTGTAAGTGTGGACGGCAGGTCGTGGGGCAGGAGATGGGGTGGAAGAGGGCCAGTGGACCGTGTTGCTTGTGGTGGTGTGACGTGGCGGAGGAAGCTCCGCAGTGGAGGTCGAGAGGCTCGGCTGGCGTTTCTGCTCTTGTGCTCTGGATGCTTGACCTGGAAAGGTGACATCAAGGAGCACAATAAAAGCTTATCTGTCCTGAGAGTCCCTGCATGCCTGGGACTGCACCACGCCCTCTCCTGGGTATAGTTACACATGTATGTGGGGCATACCGCAGAAGGCAGAGGGGCACAGGGGCTGTGGAGAGAAGTGTCTCTTCCCTGCGCCCCATCACCATCTCACTGAGGGCAGGTCCAGGTGGCGCTGGAGGAGACCCAGTCTCTGTAAGCAAAGCCTGGCCCCTAAGCATCGCTCATTCATGGTCAGGAGGAGCCTGGTCTGGGGAAACCGGGGGCTCTTCCTGGAGAAAGGCCTCCCCTGACCGGGTCTTGACAGCAGGATGGGGTGGGACTGTGCCTCCACACCTGAAGACTTTCTTCCATTTACTCATGAGGGAATTGAGGCACAGAGGGGTCAGTTAGGTCACTGAAGGTCACACAGCTCCTTCAGCAGTCTGATTGCTGAACCTGCTTACTCACCACAGCCTTCCCCAGCTGTCTGCTTGTTGGCCTGAAGGAGCATTAGGTGAGGTGACTCCTGTGCAGTGTTCAGCTTGGGGCCAGGCCCCCAGGTGGGTCACTACCGTGCTTCTCGGCAACATGGTATCCCTCTCCCAGTGACACTCACACATGCTGTGGAAGGAGCGTCTCCTAGAGGACCCCTCGATGACCTTTATCCTTCCTGATCCTTATCCCCTCTCCTCCTGTGGCTCTAGGATATTCTAAACCAAGTGACACATGCTCCTCCCCAGGTTGGAGGGGCCTCTGTCCTCCCTTCCCGAGCCCTAATTCCCCTCTTCCACAGAGCTAGCCTCTGACTCGGCGTCCCCCCTCGGCCCAGGTTCACCAGCGCCGTGCTCTACCAGGGCCTCATCATGCATGTGGGCGCCACCGGTGGAAACCTCTATCTAGATTTCTTTTACTCTGCTCTGGTTGAATTCCCAGCAACCTTCATCATCCTCGCCACCATCGACCGTGTGGGCCGCATCTACCCATTGGTCGCCGCAAATCTGGTGGCAGGGGCAGCCTGCTTCACCATGATTTTTATCTCGCATGGTGAGTTGTCATTTTCACAATCTTCTAGGGAATCCCATTGTGGGAATAATGCTTTAACTCTTTGATAAGCTCCTGGAACAAGAACAAAGACAAGATGGTCTACAACTAGGCATAACATGCATACAATGAACAAATTGTAAGTGTACAAGCCAAGGAGTTTTTATGTATGTGTATACCTGGGCACTGTGATCTAGACAGATACAACACTTCCAACCCCTCAAAAGGCTCCCCCAGGCTCTTTGACACCCCTACAGTCAACACCCCGTGCCAAGATCACTGCTAGCCTGATCTTGGAAACCTCATTAATTTTGACTGTCCTTGAACTTCATGCAAATGGAACATACAGAAAGTACTCTGTATTGTGTCACTTCACTCACTCATCCTTACCTATGTGAGATTCACCTGTGTTGTCACCACAGAGTATAGTGCATACTTCTCCGTTACCGGCAGCATTTCACTGCACAAATTCCCCACTAGGTATCCATTCCACTGTTGACTGACGAGGGTGTGTTTTCCAGGTCTGCCTGCTGGGATTAATGTTCTGGCACGTGTCTTTCTGTGGGCACATGTGCGCACTTCCCCTGGCTGTGAGCCTGCACATCCATGCGCTGGGTTAAGGGAAGGCATATGTTTGGGTTTAGAAGTTACAGCCAAACAGCTTTCCAAAGTGGTTGAACCAGTTTACACCCTTACCAGCGATGCATGAGCGTTCCAGTTGTTCACATCCTCACTAACTTTTGGTATTGCCAATCTTTTTAATACCAGTCATTTTGGTCGATGTGTAGTTTAGTCCAAATTCTTAAAACCCAAGATAAGCCAAAGCAGAATAACTAGTCAGTTTTGAATGCATAAATTACCTTTTACATTTACTTTGGGAAATGCTGTTAAATAAACACTAAGGTGGATTTGCTATTTTCTCAGTTTTTATTGCTTGTGCTCTGTACTTGTTGGTTTAATGAGTCATTTTGGCAAGGTTCTGTGCAGGGTATTTTGGGAAATGGCCCACAAAGTCTATATTTCCAAGAACCAGGCTCTATGCATCAGTCTGAAAATGAAAAGAGGTAGAAAAGACAGTTCAGTTTTCTTCTTCCTCCTTGCATGGGGAGAAAACAAGACAGGAAAAGGAGCAGAGTGTGTATGAAATAGATATTTTCCCATTTTTCTTCCCCATCTCCCTGTTTCTGGAATTCTGATAAGATATAATAGACATATATATATTTTTTTAAAGAAACAGCACTGAGTATTGAGAAGGAGCTCAATACTCTGGTCAGAGACTGTCCAGGTGTCCCCTGGGTAGAGCTCAGGCACCCTGCCCTTCAGTCTGTGGTCCCCAGGACCCTCCTCCCAGCTCCCAGCCTCTCTATTCCCTTCTACTTGGCCTTTATTACATTAGATGATAAACATGCATCCCCTCCTCCAAGAAAACATTCCAAGTGCCTCTGTGTGTTCAGCCTGCGCTTGGCCCCAGCTGCTCAGCAGAGAGCAAAGGGGAGAAAGCTCCGGCTTCATGGAGTGCTCATGGAGGGTACGAGAGCTGTGTGCATTTTAATATTTGGGGTAATCAAGGTGGGGCAGATGGTGTTGTTCAATTCTTTGATCAGATCCCGGTAGGGAGAGGGCTTCCTGGACCTTCACCTAATCAAAAACCCCACAGTGGTCTGCTAGGGTGATGCAGGGTCTGCTTCCTAATATGCACAGCTCAAGACTTATGAAAGACGTTTTGGTTAAAGAATGTGTTTGGGAACAAACAGAAATCTGGTCTACCAGTTCTGGAAGTAGGGCCTACGGGTACTGTGTTTACTGAGAACCTACTATGTTTCAGGCAGTGTGCTAGCAATAACATCACTGCATCCTAATGAGAAAGCCAACATCTGTGAAGTGGCCACAGTGGACATTTGACATGTATTATCTTGAAATCTCACAGCACCCTTTAAGTTGCATGTAAATATGCCCATTTGCAGCTGAGGAAACCAAGGCCCAAAGACGTAAACGTAAACAGCTCGCCTGAGTCAGGAAGCTGACAGGAGGCAGAGCCGAGATTCAAAAAGCACCCGCTTCCCTTTGCACAGTGGATCCTTGTTGTGATCAAGTCCCCAAACCTCTCGGGACTCAGACTGAAGGATCAGATAAGGCAGTCTTCCCAGCCGTTCCAACTCTGAAGTCCCAGCTTCCTCGGGACATAGCTCCTCGCACTTGTGTTCCACACCCCCTGTGCTTCCTCTCCAGACTTACACTGGTTAAACCTCACAGTTGCCTGTCTTGGCCGAATGGGAATCACCATCGTGTTCCAAATGGTGTGCCTGGTGAATGCTGAGCTGTATCCTACCTTCATCCGGTGAGTACACACAAGAGGGGCGCAGGCTCGGGGGGACCAGCAGTGCTGAGATATCGTCAGGGTCGCCCAGGCGTCGGTGAGTTTGGATATGGAGCTGCGGGGTCGCACACCAAAGAGAGGGGCAATGCCTACTTGGGATGGAATGTGAAATGGGAAGGTTTGGAGTATGCGGAGAGCCCGTGTGCTCCCTGCGGGGGCACGTGCAAGAAAAGAGGAGCCTGGCAGAGTACAGAGGGCACTAGACAGGGAGTGGGGCCGCATTCCCACCCCTCCTTAGCAGGGGATAGCTGCAGAGACTTCAGCATCTCCACTGGCACCTTCAGACAGAACCTGCTTGAACAGTAGTTCCTGTTTGTACACTGATACGCAAAAAATCTCCAGACATGCAATGCAGTTTAGCCCATAAACCTGTGGTTGTCCCCCTTTGACATCCAAGGAAGTCGAGGTTTACAAAGGGAAAGAGACCTTGCAAGAGTCATGTGGCAAGATGCAGCATCTTTCTGACCTCAGAGCTGGTGCTCTTGCCGTGACGACACCATCTCTCTCCATAAAGTTTGCAACAGGCCTAGAAGACTTGCTGTGCAAAGGCAGGTGTACTGAGGTAGAACTTTCTTAGAGCAATATTCACCCTAAAATGCACAGTTTGATGAGTTTGATTTTATATATTCATTTAACCTTGACTGCAATCAACATAGATTTCCATCACCTCCAGATGTGTCCTCATGTCCCTCTATAGTCAATGTCCTTCTCCCCCACCACCCCAGACCTGGCACCCACTGGTCATATTTCTCTTCCTATGGTTTAACATTTTCCAACATGTTCCGTAAATGGAATTACATGGCTTTCGGTCTGGCTGCTTTTCCTCAGCATAATGGGATCCATCCTCACCGTTGTGTGTATCAAAGCTTCCTTCCTTCTCATTGCTGAGTAGTATTCCTGGATGTCAATGATGTACCACAATTTATTTCTCCATATACCAGTTTATGGACATTTGGGCTGTTCTCAGTTTGGAGTGATAATACAGCTGCAAATAAACATTCATGTGCAGGTCTTTGAGTGGATATATGTTTTCATTGCTCTTGGGTAAAAACTTGAAGTGGGGTATATGGTGAAGTGTGTATTTAACTTTAGGAGAAACTGTTGAAATGGTTTCCAAAGTGGCCATGCCATGTGTGAGAGATCTGCTTTTTCTACATCCTCACCAGCACTTGATATTGTCAGTTTTTAATGTTTCTACATGATTCTGGGGGGTAGTGGTGTTTTTGTGACTTTAATTTGCATTCTCCTAATTACTCATAATGGTCGGCATCTTTGCATGTGCTTATTGCTGTCTGTATTTTAAGGTACAGTTTTAAATGAAGATTATTTTTATTGTAAAAGTAATTAACCACTTGATTTAAATTTTTAATTCTGACCTTTGTCAGAATTTGGTATGTTTCCTTAAACTCTTTATTTTCCTCTGGATAAATTCTTGTTCCCCATGTCATAATACCAATGGTTTCTAAGAAATATTCCAGCTCTAAAATTTCTTCTTACCTGCACAGCTCTGTGAGCCCCATGGTAAGCCAGAAGACACATGGATGACTGGTTCACATTTCTCTCCTCCACCTAACCTTCACTGGAAGTCCCTGTCTTACACTCTTATTCATAGGTTGCTTGAACTGAGTACAAAGAGGTGAAGGCAGGTTATAAAGAAAGTCTTCTACACTCGGCAGTCCTGATCCCAGAGTCTAAAATAGCCAGGCCAGACATGGCCACTGGACCCAGGGTCCCGGCTACGAATGTAAAGGGTCAAAGGTGCTGAGCGCCTTGTCCTGTGGAGGCAGGCCCACCTGCTCCCAGGGGGCCCCTAACCATTCGTGTGGAGAGCCTGCCTGACCAGGATGCTCAGCAGCTGGGAAAAGAAGCCAGATGGTCAGAAATAACTAAACTTGATCCACACAGACAAGAGAGAGACAACCATGAAAGTTCTGGTGTTTTTGATCATTGGAGTCAAATCTAAACTGTTTTTAAAAAAGGATTATTTCTTGCATTCTCCTAATTACTCATAATGGTCGGCATCTTTGCATGTGCTTATTGCTGTCTGTATTTTAAGGTACAGTTTTAAATGAAGATTATTTTTATTGTAAAAGTAATTAACCACTTGATTTAAATTTTTAATTCTGACCTTTGTCAGAATTTGGTATGTTTCCTTAAACTCTTTATTTTCCTCTGGATAAATTCTTGTTCCCCATGTCATAATACCAATGGTTTCTAAGAAATATTCCAGCTCTAAAATTTCTTCTTACCTGCACAGCTCTGTGAGCCCCATGGTAAGCCAGAAGACACATGGATGACTGGTTCACATTTCTCTCCTCCACCTAACCTTCACTGGAAGTCCCTGTCTTACACTCTTATTCATAGGTTGCTTGAACTGAGTACAAAGAGGTGAAGGCAGGTTATAAAGAAAGTCTTCTACACTCGGCAGTCCTGATCCCAGAGTCTAAAATAGCCAGGCCAGACATGGCCACTGGACCCAGGGTCCCGGCTACGAATGTAAAGGGTCAAAGGTGCTGAGCGCCTTGTCCTGTGGAGGCAGGCCCACCTGCTCCCAGGGGGCCCCTAACCATTCGTGTGGAGAGCCTGCCTGACCAGGATGCTCAGCAGCTGGGAAAAGAAGCCAGATGGTCAGAAATAACTAAACTTGATCCACACAGACAAGAGAGAGACAACCATGAAAGTTCTGGTGTTTTTGATCATTGGAGTCAAATCTAAACTGTTTTTAAAAAAGGATTATTTCTGTTATTTATTACCTTATAAGTACTCCAAATTCAAACTATCAGTATTTTTAACTATTTTGACCCTGTTTCTTACACACTGGAGTCTTCAGAAGGGAGCAGCAGGCTCCTGTCTGCAGCACAATGTCGAGAACATTCTTTGGGCGTCAGTATGCGCTGCCTTGTGTTGACAGTTGTCTCTCCATTTTTATCTCCTCCCTGTCTTTTGAGCTCCTTGAAAGGAGGAATGACATATCATACTTCTCTGTGTCTCCTGAAACCATTTGATAGCCATACTAACCAGTCACTAAGTGCTCACAGAATGAATGAATGAAGTACCACAAAAATGTGAATTTTAAATAAGGGAGCTAATTCCCTACTTCTAGCTTCTGTGGGCGTATTAATTTTTTTCTTTCTCAAGATGTATTTATGTACTAAAATAATAAAAAATACTGGTGTCTTTTCTTTCTCCTGTTGGAAATCACACTAAAGCTATTAGATAGAAGAGTTAGAAGAAGAAGAAGAAAAAAAAAGAACCCTGCAAATGGCATCTTTGAAAGGAGGGTGACCCTGAAAGACAATATGTAAGAGGAAAGGCTCCCAAAGCAGTGAGTCTAGAAGATTCCAGGGATGCACAGCTGTGACAGCAGCTTAGACGATGAGGTCAGCAGTTTTCCAGAGTAGGAAGCATACCTTGAAGGGTATGACCCACGATCCCTGGTTTGGAGAATAGGCTGGATGTAGGAGCAAGAGGTGTGAGCTTCCTTCCCTGGGTGTTGTGCAGCTGAAGGTGAAGCAGGGAGAGTAAGGCCGTGAGAGAATATTCAGGAAGCTTTCAGATAGTAGGACTCCGGAAGGCACGATGGAGGAGACAGACCCTGTGTGGTGGCATTCTGTACTGTCAGCCCCTGTAGGTTGGGAATGATAGAGGTTAAGGCATCTAACCTCATACAATCCTAGTAAAAAAAGAGAATTTCTACTAGCCTGGCCCCTGCCTGCAAATTCTTCTGAAATAACTGATACAGGAAGAAATCATAGTATTAAAAGATGAATAACCAAAAATGAATTTTCCTAGTGTACTTTTTCTAGCTAAGAAGAAAAATATCACTGATACCTGATAAATTAAGTAACTTGTGAATATTTTTAAAGATATAATGGCAAATACTAAGATGATATAACCAACTAAGATGAGGTCAGAGGGGGGGACTGGGAAAGAAAGAAGTGTAATTTATAATTACTCACTGTAGAGAGTAAGACATTATGCAAATGGATGTAATAGAAGAAGCCTAAAAGTAAGACCCCAAAGGATAAAACTTCCTGATTTATTGTTCCTAATTTAACCATGTTTTCAAAACAAAACTCAAGATAATTTATAGGCATCAAAAATATCAAGCACTGAACAAGGTAAAATTTACAATGTCTGGCATCCAATAAAAAAATGACATGCAAAGAAACAGCAGAAGAGAACCTATATTGAGGAGAAAAATAAATCAATCTAAATGGGCCCAGAAATGACACAGATGATGTAAACAGTAGACAAAGACATTAAAGCAATTATTATATTTGTACCCTATGTGTTCAAGAACCTAGAGAAAGATTGAGTATATCAAGTAGAGACATGGAAGATATTTTTAAAAATCCCAAATGAAACTTTGAGAGCTGAAAATTACAGTGTCTGAGATGAAAAATACACCAGATGAGTTAATAACAGATTAAATATTATGGGGGAAGAGATGAACAGATTTGAAGATAGCAGTACAAACTATTCAATATGAAACTCAGAATCAGTGAGCTGTGGGACAATTACAGCACATGTAATTGAAGTCTGCAGAGGAGAATGGAAAGAATGAATAGGGAGACAGAAAAAAAATATTTGAAGAAATAATGGCCAAAACTTTCTTCAAAATTAATAAAAGCTACTAATTCACAGATCTAAGAACCTCAATAAACTCCAACCACAAAAAAAAACATCAAGAAAGATCATAAAAATCTTAAAAAGCAGCCAAAAAAAGACATCACAGACAGGACTAAAGACTTCTCAATGAAAGCAATGCAAATAACAAGATGGTAGAACAACATCTTTAAGATATAGAAAGAAAAAAACAAGTCAACCTAGAATTCTTGACCCAGCAAAATTACCTTTCAACAGTGGATGAAAGTAAAGATATCTTCAGACATATAAAGGCTGAAAGAACTTATCACCCACAGACCTGCACTACAAGAAATGTTAAAGTTTTTCCGAGAAGGAAAATGATATCAGAGATCTGGGTCTACAGAAAAGCATAAAGAGCACTGGAATGGTAATGACATGGGTAAATAGAAATAATTATTTATTCTGGTTATTTACTTTAAAAGATAGTTAAACTGTTAAAAGCAGAGATTGGCAATCTTTTCTTAATATGCCAGAGAATAACTTTTAGGCTTTGTGGGCCACATAAGATCTCTCTTTTTTTTTCCAGCTTTTTAAATATGTAAAAAACACACTTAACTCAAAGGCCATAAAAATGCTATATTTGGACTATGGGTTGTAGTTTGCTGACCCCTGATTGAGAGCAAAAAATAGCAATGTGTTGTGGGATTTAGAGCCTAGAAAAGTAAAACTGTGCAGACTGGGAGGAGAGAAATGCAAGTGAACTATAGCATTTCCACTGCAAGGTTCATATGCACTGGTAGAATACCACTTAAAGGCAGACCATGCTGAGTTACAGATAACTACTGCAAACCCTGAAGCAAAAACAGAAAAAGTAGAATTTTAGATAGTAAGCCAACAAAGAAGATAAAATAGATTATTTAAAATACTCAAGTCATAAGAAGGAAGAAAAAGAGGAAAAAGGTAACAAAGGACAGATGGAACAAAAAGAAAACAAATAGCAAGATGATAGATTTAAACTCTACCATATCAATACTCATAAAGAATATAAATGGTTTAAACACTCCAGTTAAAAGGTAGAGATGGTCAGATTGGACAGAAAATGAGACCCAGTGGTATGATGTCTAGAAGAAACTCACTTTAAATATAATGGTAGGGAAATTTTACAAGTAAAAAGATGGAAAAAGATTTATACATAGAGAGAGTGTAAGAGTAAAAGACTGGAGGAAACTATTCCCTGTGAACGCCAATCACAAGAAAGCTGGAATGGCTATATTCACGTAAGGCAGAGTAGATTTCAGAGCAAAGACAATTACCAGGGATCAAGAGGGTCATTTTAAGTAAATAGATTATCTGTTTCCCCTTGAGCTTTCTTTGTCCTCCTTTCCTTAATACCTTTACTCTACCTTCTTGATCTGTCTGTGTGAAAGACAGACTTCTACTTGCACTAACCAATTCTCCAACTCTCTAGATACCAACTGGGTGTCCTATAATCACCTGGAATTCTGACATTATCCACCTGGAATCAGCACACACCCCACAGGTTAAGGGCTCGGTCCCACAAGACTGCCTCCAGTTTAGATGCCAGCCACAAGCCCCAGGTTCTCGCCTGTACTTCTGATTAACTGGCAATAAATCAGGGGTTTCCATGACCCCCTCCTCAATTTCAATGATTTGCTGTTCACAGAATGCAGGCACTTACATTTATTATTTGTTATGAAGGATACATAAACGATATAAATGAATGGCCAGGTGAAGAGGTACATAGAGTAAAGGTCTGAGGGTCCCAAGCACAGGAACGTCTTTCTCTGTGGGGTTGGGATGTGCCAACCTTCCTGGCACATGGATGTGTTCGCCAACTCAGAAGCTTTCTGGGCCCCATAGTGTAGGGTTTTATGGAGGCCCCATTATGTAGCACGATTGATTAAATCATTGGCCATTGGTGATTAACTCCATCTCCAGCCCCTCTCCCTTCCCTGGAGCTTGAGGAGGTGGGCACCATGTTTGCCCAAGGATAAGGTTAACATTTGGAAAGTTGAATCACAGAAGTGCCATCTTTTTTGTTCTCTGTATTTTATCAGGAACCTCGGAGTGATGGTGTGCTCCTCCCTGTGTGATTTGGGTGGGATCCTCACGCCCTTCTTGGTCTTCAGGCTGGTGGAGGTTTGGCAAGGCTTGCCACTCATTCTGTTCGGTAAGACTTCTTCAGACGTTTATTATTCCTCCTTTCCAGCCCAGCTGGAATACTCAGTAACTATTTGATGGGTGAACGATATTCCCCAGCAAGTTTGCAGAAGACGGCAATGGTGCCTGCCCTCCCAGCAAGGCCTGGCTCCCTCTGTCTTGCCTCATGGGAAAGATGAGATGCCGTTCTAGAAGGCAGACCAGAGGCTTATGTCCCGTGGCTCCAGAAGCCAGTAATTCATCCTGCAGGATCAGAAGCTGAGAGACCTTTTGATACAGCCTCCTGCTTTCTTGGGAACTGACTACCAATTGTGCATCTAACATGTACTTGCTGGAGGTTTGAAGATGCCAAATTATCACCCCTCTTCTGCTTCTGCATCTTGACAACTGAGAACAGACACGGAGACAAATGGGGATCAAAGTTTAGTATCAGCTTTATTACTGATAAACTTGGAGTAGAGAAGGGGGAGGGGATCCCTCCCTCTCTCCCAAAACCTGGACCTTGGGATGCCCAGGACCCTGCCGATGCATTTGGTGGAAGGTAACATGGCTGTGCACCTGTAGGCAGTGCCATGCTGCGCCCAGGCCCATCCGTGAGGGAGAAGGAGGGAGAGAGAAGAGGGCAGGAAGAAGGAGGGAGAATAAGAGGAGGAGGGAGGGAGGGAGGGATGGAGGGAGAGAAAGAGAGAGAAGCAAGAGAGACCCACGGTGCTCACATATGTATCATATATGCTGCATGTCATATATACATACAATATTAATATATAGTGGCTATATATATATTATAGCTTATAGTAATTATAATATATACATACAATTTATATAATATAATATAATTCATATAGTTTATAGTTAACTATAATGCATTAGTCATTTTACATATTTAAAATCATATATAATTTATAATGATATATAATATATAGTAGTATATATGATTACATATAATTTTGATATATAGTAACTAATATATATTATATTAATATAGTATATATACATATTACATATATAAAATAATATAAACATATTATATGTATAGTAGCATACATAGTGACTGGTCAAAACTGAGTTTCATATTGCTCCTGAGGTTCCTGAATCAACCTTTCATCTTAAGCATGAGTTTCTGTAGAACTCTATACTTAACGCAGAAGTAAATGAAGGCACCATTCCGTTTTCTTACCCTGGCATTTCTGCAGTTATCCTATTGCTTTAATTTTCTTTTCTAGATGTTCTTGACTTAAACAGTAGTGTGCCTCACGGTGCGTTATCTAGGCATCTCCTTGGGTAGGCGCCCCCCTTCCTGGAAGGGGTGCAGCCTGTGCCCTAATGGCTCCACGGGGATCTGTTTTGTTGGAAGCGGTGGTGGGCCTCGTTGCCGGGGGAGTGACGCTGCTGCTTCCCGAGACCAAGGGGGTCGCCTTGCCCGAGACCATCGAGGACGCGGAGAACATCTGGAGGTGAGTCCCGGTCCCGTGGTGCCCGGGACTCCGGGGCCCCGCTAGCTGTGCCCTCGGAATCCATTAGCCCTCTCCATTGTCTCTATCTTAAAGGTTTTGGGGAGCTTTACAGATACTGTTTTATTTTTTTATTATACTCAGTGCTGCTATGGCAAGAAACACAGCACAATAGCCATTGGCTTTAGGTGAGAAAAGAAAGGGGCACATACGCATTTTTGGCTGATGGTCATCCACCCTAAACCGCAGCCCAGAGAGCATGGGCTTGCGAGGCGGGCTGTGTGGGCACCAGCACCCTGGCTCACCCTGGTTTAAAAAGTGGGCTCTCTCACCCCAGGACTTAGTGACCCTGAGCAGGGAACTACTCTTAAATCACTCTCTGTCCTTTCAGCGGTTGCTGGTTCAGATTCCTTAGTGACACACTTCACAAAGAAGAATGACTTCCAAGTTTCATGCCTGTGACAGGGACAAGTGCTTCGATGGAGTGTCAGATTCCCCTTAAAATAGTAAGACAGGAAAGGAAGATAAAGCGTGCTGAGGTGGCTGCTCAGGCTCCCGCCCTGGCTGGGTGCTCTGGGCTCCATAGGAAGGACACGCCTGTCCCTTTGCCACAGAGAGAGCTGTCTGTGGGGCCATGAGGACCTGCTCTTGGACATGTGTCGCCTGCTGGGCCTGGCGACTTTGGGAATGTCATTGAGTCCCACAGAAACTTAATTTCCTTGCCTGAAAAGTAGGCACGATAATACTTAATTTAGGGGGTTGCTGTGAAAATTCTGTGAGATAAAGCAGCACTATATATACTATTATATATATAATACGTATATATTATTTTATCTCACTGAAATTTCACAGTGACAGAGAGTATTGTCTGGCACATAGTAGATGTTCAATAAATCTTAGATTTTCCCCTTTCTTATTGCATGTTGTGTGATTTCCTCAATGATTCTCAAAACTTAGTACGCAAAGAACCACAAAGGGAGCTTCCTCAAATGCAGAATCCTGGCCTGCTGGGATTTCGACTCGGTCAGTGACGGGTGGAACCCAGGGAGCTGTGTTTTTAATAAGCTCTGCCCGCGATGCCCATTTATGTACTCTGTAAATCTACTCTGAGAAATTCTGGATTTCTCAGTACTGATTAAGACAAACACCTTATTTTAACTGGAAACACATGTCCTGGTTTCTGACAATATGCTTGCTTTATTTTGGTCTCAGTGGTAGAAATATATATAGCTAGTGTTGATTACCTGACTTTAAACTGCTCCATTCTAATTTGTTGATAGGCACCTGGTCATCTTCTAAGGAGTTTTGTTTATCCCTTTAGGCCCTCAGCATAACCATTCCTGCCGGGTGTTCCTGTGCTGAGTCCCTCATCTCCCTGAACAGCCTCTGTTCTTGATAATATTTTGCACATTCTATGATAATCACTCAGTTCATTCTCTGTCTTCTCTGCTATGCTGACTCCACAAACGGTGGCTACAATCCATTGCCAGAGAGATGATTTCAGTTACTCCTTCCCTGGCACTTCCCCAGGGAAACCGTCTGTGGCGGGAGCAGTAGTGCCACTTGCTCTCCGTACGGAGGGCTCACCGTGGGTCCGCTTCCCCGAAAGCTTCACATGTGATCTCAGCCAATCCTATGAAGACATTGTGAGCAGCTACTGTTGCTATCAGGCCCAGTCTTCAGATTAAAGGCATGATAGCTGCCCCAGAAGCCCCCAGACCCGAGATGGATGTTGGCTGGAAATAAGGTGACGGAGTTAGACAACAATACAATAGATGTTCTCCTTCAGGAGTCAGCAAGCTCTTTCTGTAAAGGGCCATGTAGGAAAGACTTCACGTTTGGGGGCCACATGGCCTCTGTGGCCACTACTCAACAAAAGCAGCCAGAGACAATACAGAAAGGAATGGGTATGGCGGGGTTCCAGCAGAACTTATTCATCGACATTGAACTTTGAGTTCCATCTGATTTTCAAGTGTCAGGAAATAACATTTTTATTTTAATTTTAAAAACCATTAAAAAATACAAAAAGCCATTCTGAGCTCACAGACCACAGAAAAGCAGGCCGTAAGGCAGGGCTGGCCTGCCGGCTGCAGGTTGTGTTGCCAACCCTTTTCTTCTTTGCTGCTCGCTGTCCTGTTCTCCTTGTTTTGAGACTTCTTCCCCTTACAGCCCTGCAGCTGGGTCTTCATCAAGGCATTGATTGCTTGTTTCTTTTAACTAATTTTGATTTTTGGTTGCTACAGAAAAGCGAAGCCCAAAGAAAACCAGATTTACCTCCAGATCCAAACTTCAAGCCCGCAGGCACCTGAGAGAGATGCTTCCCTGGACTCCGAGCGGCAGAGATGAAGATGGAGTCAGCATACGGAGGGATGCTCAATTTTCTGTCCTCTTCCTCACACTTGCCCGCTTCTGCATCACTGTCAGTCCTGAAGAACACCCGCTCTGCTTTCTCCCCTCCCCTCCCCTCCCCTCCCCTCTCCTCCCCTCCCCTTCCCTCCTCTTCCTTCAAGTCTCCCAAAGCCCTGGTGACGTTTTATCTACTTGCCCCTTTCTAGTGAGAGCTGTGTTTGGTTACCAGGTACTTTATTATCAAAAGTATTTTGAAGATCCAATAAAACTTAAATATTGCTATAAAAGAGGCCTCTTTAACTGGTTTCCTAGACTCTCTGAAAGAAGACGTCTTTGCATTTATAGGTGTCTAGGTTGGCAAAAGCCTCTCAGTGTGTAAATCTCTCGAGAGTTCTTGATTTTTAAATATGGTGATTCTTCCTGCAAACTATACCCCAATCACGTTTCTATGCACATGGTGGAATAAAATGTGATCCTCATTTGAAAGCTAGAAGTGCTATGACCTTTCTAGCAAAGAAGTTTCTGCCACCTATGTTCCAGGAATATTTTATTCTCTTTCACTCTTGGTTTGGGTTCTTGCTGATGATTCTAGAAGGTGAACTCATATGCCAGAAATGAGCTATCACAGTAAATGTATCAAAAAAGAGACCTATTTGCTGGGAGTTTTCTGTAACTGGCTCAAGTTCTGGTTTAAAAAGTAGGCTCTCTGCAAAGCCCTAACCCAGCTGCCCCGTGTGCTGTGGGTGGTGCTGCCACAGAATTCACAGCAATGCAGCCTTTGTAAGGCAACTTAGGCCGTGTTGTGAGACGTGGGGGAACACATGGCCCACCTTTCAAGTGGATGGAGGGATTTGATGGCCTCAAAAATCACCTCCCCAATCCTGCCCCACGTGTTTCCTTCAATGCCTAGAATGCAACCTGCAGAGATTTCCTCCTGCAGGTCTGGGAAGGCAACCACTGAGAGCAAAGTGCACACCATAGGGTGGCCCATCAGCTAGGAGTACAATGGGGACTGGGGGACCAGGGGAAAGTGCCTGAAGAGCGGTAGGTATGACAGCAGATGGTCAGCATGTGGCCTGAGAGAGGCAGCATTATGTCACCAGAAGAGCCCAGACTCTGGCATGATCCTGATGGGGTTCAGTGTTTCCCCCGACATCTAGTGATTCTATGGCCTGGAACAAGGTCTTTAACTGTCTGAGGGTGTGGACTGTGCAGCCAGACTCATGGAGGGAACAATACTCGGGGACTGCCCGCAAGGATACAGGCTGACCGAGAAGAGGTGCCTCCCTCAGAGCCGCAGCCGGGGGAGAGAACCTGAGACTGAAGTCCACACTCGGGGGACCAGGGCAGGGCAACCTTAAAGTCCTGGGATTACCTGAATCCCCTGAGAAAACCCAGATGTGATCATGTTATCCTGAGATGGAAAACTTGGATTAAGTTTTACACTAGCTGCTGGAATAGGGGCTTGAGGAAAAATGAAGTCATAGAAACATAAGGGCCTCTCTCGCGCACTTAAATGTTGTGGCGGAGCTCATGGAGTCACACCACACACAGTGGTCTGCAGCCTGCTTTTCCCAGTTAACATCTTTCCACTTCAGGACAGAAGGAACTGATTCTTTTTAACGACTTCATAGCCATGTATTGAGCAATGTAAGTTATTCAGCCGTTTCTGCTCTCTGAGGATTTGGTCTCCTTTCCTCGAATATAAACGACAGGCTTGTCTGCTGGCTCTCCCACCCCCTCCTGTTTGTCACACCCCCTCTGTGGGCTCTGACTATCTCGGGGGCCCCGGGAGCCATCAGGACACAGGCCAGCCCCATTGCCTGGCCCAGGGTTTGCCTTCCGGACGGGCAAGTGAGCGTGGATTCCCGCACAGTTGTTTGTTGACAGGAGGCTGGGACAGCCTGGGGGTACCGGGTGGCCCGCTGTGTGTCCCCGGACTCACCTGCGCTCGGTCGTTCTCCAAGCAAACTCTTCAGGAACCCCACCTCAGCACCTTCTCTTTCTTGCGTTTGTCAGGGTATTGAAGCTGTACAGAATCTATATCTCTGCTCCTCCAAGAATTTTATGTGCAAAACATTTTTCTTAATGAACCAAACACTATTTATCTCATCTTACAAATTCATTTTGTTCTTTATATATGTATATATTACGATTTTTCATTGTATACAAAATCACCCCAAAGATGCATGACTGCATTTGAAATCTTTCAGTAGGTGCATTTCCCAAACACATCAGTTAAAAAGTTTGCTGTCTTAATTAAACTCCCCTCCCCATTAGATACTATATTTACCCCTCAAATGCAAGTGAAAGCATCCTTGCCTTCTGCCCTATGAGGACCGTGGAGTGTAAGGGAAACTTGCTTGTCTCCAGGGCTCTGTACCCTTGGGGAGTGACGTGATTGATCCCAGGGACCAGATGACTGTTCGTTTCAAAAAGATGCCTCCCTAGGACCTTTTGGGCATTAAGGCAGGGAGGAAGACAAGGAGACAAAGAGATGGCTAACTTGCTTCCCGGGTTTCTGCAAAGCGCAAAGCTGCTTTCTAGATTAAAATGGGAGAAAAGGGAGCCTTCAGGAAAAGGAAAGGGGACTAGAAAGGAGATGCGGGATAAGGAGCACATTTGATCAGGTGAGTCCTTAGAGGTCAGCAGCTCTCCCGTCCCACCCACCACCTCCTTCACTTGCCAAGAGGGAAGTGAGGATGTGGAAGATGGACAGATGTCCTTCAGCCGGCACGGTTCATTTACAATAACAGATGTCACTTATGACTGCTGATGCCCCTTCACCGTGTATCTTCCCCACAGCCAGCAAACAAAAGGGATCACAATAGCCACATGGTCCAAAAGAAATTTACTGCATGTTTTGGTGGCTGTCACTTAAACAGAACCTGGTTGGTGACATCAGGTTGATTCTTTGCTGGTCTGTAAATCTGGGAAGGGGAAATCCCATGGCAAAACACCTAGCTGAAACTGAAGTCAGTCAAAGGGAGAAATAAAGTTTAAAACCTGTTCATTGCTTACAAAAGGCAGTCCGGCATGTCTCTCCCCTGCTGAAGCAGAGGCAAGTGAAATCCCCCCACAACCTGTCAGGTTCAGGTAGGCCCTTGGTCACCCAGGTAGTTACCCACTGATACGGACATGAACTACTTCTCTCCACCCCTTAAAAACATCTGTTAATCTGGAGATGCACTAAAGCCAGGTGAGAGATTCTGGAAATACTGCAATTTTATGCGCATGGTCCCAGGAGGGTAATAATGGGTCTCTGAAGAGCTAAAGAGCAGCATGGAAGAGAAGTTGGTAATGGTGGCCCCAACAACCCCCCCATTCACATCGGACTAGTTATGTTTCTGTCTAGTCCCGGGGGGAGGGTCAGGACTATTCAGAGGATCATTCACTTACCCTGGTTTCACGAAACCCTTTCTATCTCCATCTCTGCCTTGGGGACATTCTAACTGTGACTAGGATGTTCACCTCCATACCTGGCCTAGACATCCATCAACCCCTCTCTCATCTCTGCCGCTTCTTCTCCATGGGCTGATGGCATTTCCTTCCGATCCCAAAACTGGTACCTGTGAACCACCCTATGCGATTCACTGTCCAGACCACTAACTGTTCAAAAAGGGTTTGGTTTTTAGCTGTTCTGGTATTGTGATCCTGGTCATTAATATTATTAATAAAATCTACAATTGTTCTTCATTTAGAAAGAGCTCTTTAACCATTTGGTAGTTGACTGTGGAAGACAAGGGTCTTGTGGCCTAACTTTAGCCTCAGTTCTAATGTGCATTTTCAGCTAAGTGTCTGGAAAATATTTGTAATTACACTCAGTGGCTTTGGCTGCCTCTGCTATCCTCTGCCTGTGGCCAGAGCCTGGGGGACCATCTCCTGTGCACTCTAGATGTTCAAGTATTTAGTCCCTCATATGTAATTTGCTTTAAAAAAAATCAAAGTTGCAAGAAGGGTTGCTGTGGCTAGACTTAGGGACAAGAAAAATCCCAAATTCAAGAAGAGTGGGGAAACCCTTTGTGGCCAAAGGGTGAGGACTCCCAGATGTGGAAGGTTGTGTTAAGAAGACAGATGCCTAAATGTGGAGGATTTGCAGTTGCTGAGCAGGGACAATTTCGACATCATAAAAACAGCAGTTATAGTTAAAGGGAACAAGTCGAGCCTATAAAAAGAGCTGAAAGTCCACAATAATACTCAAAGGAACAAACTCTAGGAATTGCGCCAGGAAAAAGTACACATGAGTTTCTAATAAAGTTTATAAGACTTTGTAAATTGTTCAACACAACTAATCTGAGTTCTCTACTCAAGGTTAGATTAACACCAAGGTTAACAACCATGAACCAAATAGAGGAAATAAAGCATGCTTAAAGTATATAATGGCTATCATTTGATCATTTAAAATTAAAATACTGGCCATCCAGAATTAAATAGATCTAGAAAACAAGGTCATATCCTTCAGGCGGGCCCAATCCAAGTTGAAGACGATAGTTTAGGGATGGAGAATGTAGACCCACTTGGCCGGTGGGAGAAGCTGGTCCATGCGGGGGTGGGGCTGGCACCCGGCCACGGAGCCAGGGGTGCTGCCCTATGACTCATGAAACCAGCCTGTAGCTGCTGCCTTGGGCCCAATTGCCCAGCAAGCCATGAAGTTATGCCTTGGGCAGAAATAGTCACTGAATTATTTATCACCTGGAAAGATTTTTAAAGATGCTATTTTAAAATGACACAACTTCTTGATTCATATTGAAAAACTGGAAATCAGAGACAGTCCTGTTTATCCATCACACACATAACAGTCATTATAGTTAAACCTCCAAATGACACTGTGAATTCCAGGCCAGAACCATGGAAAACTGAAATTCCTGCGGGCACAGGCCCTCCCCACTTCCTCCTACTGCTCTGGACAGGCCAGGGAGTGTGAAGACAGGGCTGGTCAGACAGTAAATGGGCCCTGGCCCTGGGGACCTGGGGAGGCCCACCACGAAGGGACTGGGGCATACCGGGAGGAGGAGGTCAGAGTGGCTGCCTTGATTATTGAATTGGAAGATAATAATCAGACGTGCACTTGAAATACACGTATATACAGATTTTCTACAGAATTGAAGACAATTGTGAAGATCATCTACTAATTACAACTAGTCAAAAGCTTAATGAAAAGACAAACAGCCAATAACCATCAGTGGCTGGTAGGAGAGGAGGCAAAATAAGAAAGCATATTAATGACTCAAAGCAAGGACATGGGGAAATATTTGGACCCCCCCATCATGTGGAATTGGGAAGCTCCAG